ATCTGACTACTGCTTCTATGGGTATTGACTATTGTAGTAGTTATGTTTGTGTGTCAACTTGGCTGGGCCTGGTTGAGTGGCTGGGCAGCTGGTGGCAGTTATTCCCCATGATGAGACTGGCAATCAGCTCCATGGTGTGATCTACCACAAGCAGCTGAGATGTGGTCTGCTTCCCGTATATAAAGAGAAGCCTTGGGAATGGTCTCTAGCCTATGGCATGCTTGGACCCTGCATGTAGCCGTGTCGTTGTTCAGCAGCCTGCCGTGCTGTGCCGACCTTGGGACTTATAATGAACTTGAATTAATGGCCTGCCGTGTGGTTTGGTAACATTGTGCCTTTTTACTTGTCAACCTTGGGTTTGTCAGCCTCAGCAGCCAGCAGCTGTCTGAGTGCAGAAACGCCTCTACCTCTAGTGGGCCGCGAACAGGAGGCAGAGCTGGACCCCAAGGTTGAGGGGCTTTCACCCAGCCCCTAAAGCTTGGTACCATGAACTTGGACTTAAAGCCTCCAAATTGTAAGAATAAACTCCTGTTTGTTAAGGCCGTCCCATTTGTGGTATATTCTTGTCAGAGCAGCACTAGGGAGCCAGAACAACTATGGACCCAAGTAAAATGAAATCCCTAACAACTTCAATATTTTCTCCATTTATCATGATGTTGCTTGTTGGTCCAGTTATAAGGATTTTCGTGTTCTTTATGCTGAGGTGTAATCCATACTGAGGACTGTAGTCTTGAATCTTTATCAGTAAGTGCTTCAAGTCATCTTCACTTTCAGCAAGCAAGGTTATATCATTTGCCTATCACAGGTTGTTAATGAGTCTTCTTTCAATCCTGATGCATTCCTCTTCATATAGTCCAGCTTCTCAGATTATTTGCTCAGCATACAGATTGAATATGTATGGTGAAAGGATACAACCCTGATGTATACACTTCCTGATTTTACACCATGCAGTATCATCCCCTTGCTCTATTCTTGGTTTATATATAGGTTCTTCCTGAGCACAGTTAAGTGTTCTGGAATGCACATTCTTCTCAACATTATCCATAATTTGTTATGATCCACACAGTCGAATGCCTTTGTAGAGTCAATAAAACAGAGATAAACATCTTTCTGGTATTCTTTGCTTTCAGCTAAGATTCATCTGATAGCAATAATGATACTCCTTGTTCCACAAAAGCACTTCAGTAAGTACTCAGCTAAAGCAAGAGAGAAACATTACCTGATCCTGCATTTATTTCAAAGTCACAGTGTGACCATAACTGAAAGCACTCCACTCCCTGGACAAGTGTGATTTAACAAGTAGCTCCATCAAGGGTAAGTGACAGCAAGACTACACCGCAGGCAACTACGAAAGTCGATCTATTGGATGGGATCACTTAGTATTCCCCATCTAAACATCCTGTACCATGCACAACATACAACAATTTCTTTTTAAAATTTTTATTGTGATTTGGGTGAAAGTTTACAGAGCAAATTCATCTTCCATACAGCAGTTCACATACACTTTGTCTCCTGACATTGACTGTAATCTCCCACAATGCAACAGCTCTCCTCCCACTTCCTCCCCATAATCACCTCTGTGGCCTTCCCTCCCACGCACTCTTGGTCTCCGAGCTGTCTCCCTGTGCATACACAGCCCTTCTATTCTCCCACTGATTGATCTCTCCAAGGAATATATATGCCTAATGTAAATGTTCAGCTCATATGCTTGTCTTTTAACACACAACAATTTAAGTTTTTATCAAAGATGATGGGAAGATGCACTGTCTGAAAATAAGTAGCCAACATGTGTGACTGCTTCTACTGTCAAGACAATACTTACTTTTTGCTACTGCTGGAATAATAGTATTTATTGTACACACTAAGTTATTATATGACGGCCAAAAAGAAGGGGGGAAAGATTTTTGTTATTGAATTCACTCTCCGTTTGACTGAAACATCTGGGAAATGTTTAGGCCACTGGGAGCAAAGCCTATGGCATGTATCTACCAGGAATGCATGTCTCAAGAGCCTCATGGCTAGTGGCAGAGTTTTCGTTTTTTGAAACTATTTATCTGCTCACCAACGAGCAGCTGATGAAAGACTAAACTTCACAGAGAAGCAACACCTCAGGATCTTTTTAATGATGGAGGAATGAAAGCAAATATGACTAAGTCATCAAATGGAGAGGTCTCATCAAAGGAGGGGTTTGGTGTAAATTCGAGGATGACAACAACCAGAGTTGTGTTTTCACTAAAAGACAAACTGCCTGTTTCAAGTTGCTAAATTTATTTAATTTTAACCTTTTTAGACCAGAACCCAAGAACAAGAAATATGCAGGGGGAACAAAGCTCCCACCACACTTACCAGGAGAGAGAGTCACGTCTAAACGAACGCTCTTCCACTGTAATAAACTGGAGCCGTTGTAGTGTACAGCTCGGCCATTGCTAAGAAAAAACAAAGAGAAGTCAAGACAAGACTAATCACCTATCACAGAGGGAGCTAAGCAGTCAGTTTCAGTAGCATAAGAGTAATAAGAAGAGAAGTCATAATGCTACTCTCTCTCCCTAAATACTAATATATTGCCCACTTGTATTTTACCCATTCTGGAGGGTAGCGGTGACATCACTTTAATATCTGCACAACTACAAGTGTATCTGCAGAACAAAGGGATCGAGGTTCAAATGCATTTGAGAAACAAGATAAATAGGCCCTTCTCATAGGTCAGTGTGCATGTGCACTATAAATCTCCAAAAAGAGGAAAAGGGTACATTCCATCTCCCAAAACATATTGGAAGACAGAATCCTATTTCTGTTTCCTGAACATCTGTTACATTTTTATTTCCTGAACACCTATACACCCCTTGTAGGAAGCTACTGTTTCCAGGGATACAGTTTGGGAAATGCTGATATTCTGATCTACTGTATTTCTTCTCTTAAATAAAAGCAATAGTAGCCACTCACTTATGGAAAAGACAGGTGCCCACTGGATTAGTCCAAGCCCCATCTCGTTTCTCTGCTTCTGTCGCAAAGCCAAAGGAAACGATTGGTCCCGTGTCGTCATCAGTATCTCCATAGGAAACGATTTCAATTTCCCAGTAAAAAGATGGGGCCTGAAGAAACACCGTAAGCAGACAGACAATCAGAGGGCTCAGCCTGGGCCCTTGAACTTGGTTTGGCTTTCAGACTTCAAGGAAGGAGATAAAAGACAGTGTCTCTTGTGGTTTCTCACCTGAACTGGCAGTGGTGAGGTGGCATAGATAAAAGTGCCCCGGGGCAGGCCTCCCCCAGCGCTGGGGTCAGCCAGGAAGGTGACTGAGGTGAGGTGAGATGAGAACATGCAGGCTCGAACAGGTGGAAACACTCGCGAAGGGCTCCAAGTAATCTCTTTGGGCTACAATGGGATAAGAAAGCAAAATCCTAGGTCAACAGAATTACAAATAGGAATTCTTTTACCCTGAAAGAAGCAAACTAATTTGTATATTATAATACTACATATAGCGGTATGTTCCTTAAAAGCATGTATTTTTGACCCAGCAGTTTCATTTTTTATCCTAATAACTGAAAGAGGCATGCAAAGATTTAGGTCCGGGGCTGTTCGTCAGATCACTGGTATGGTGAAAACTGGGGACCATTTACACACAACATGAAAAGCCGGGTGAGCAAACTGAGACACAGGCGGACCCTGGAGTGTCCAGCTGCTGTTGGTGGACATGGAAAGGCAGTCACCATCTACTGCGTGAAACAAGCTGGATACAGAATAGCACAGACCACAGAAATCCAATTCTGTCTGGAAATTACAGGGAATGCACCAGATGAACATGGTGACGATGGTAACCGGAGAGGCTGAAAATTCAGGCGACAGTTTTTCCTTTTATATATTTTTAATTTTGAAGTAATTCCAAACTTACAGAAAAATTACAAGGATAATACAGCAACTCCTGTACATACTTACTTAGACGTACCTATATTTCTAAAGTTTTATTGAGATATAATTTATTTACCTTACAATTGCCACTGTTAAAGTATACATTCAATGCTTTTTAGAGTATTAACAGGTATATGCAACCATAACCACAACGTACTTTTAGAACATTTTCATGCCCCCAAAAGAAACCCCACACCCACTAATGTTTGTTCCACATTTTCCTCTCTCTTCAGCCTCTGAGAACCACTCATCTTACTGACTGTTTCAACAGATGGACCTCTTTTGGGTATCTCATATAAATGGAATCACAATACGTGGCTTTTTGGGTCTGGCTTCCGTAACTCAGCATCATGTTTTCAAGGTTCACCCATGTTGTAGCATGCATCAGAACCTCATTTCTTTTTATGGTCGAATCATAGTCCATTGTAGGGACAGATCACATTTTATCAATTCATCAATTTTTTTGGCTATTATGAATAACCACCATGAACATGTATAGATACATAATTTTTAAAATATTTTGCCACATTTGCTTTTAATTACTCTTTCTTATTTTCTCTCTCTATATACTTATTATGATGATATGGACTATAAACCTAAAACTAGAAAAAAAGTTTCCTTTTCTGTCACTGACAACAAAAAAAATTATTCACAAGTTAATGAGATCTGCTCCTCTGCTGCAATTTGTCAATATCAACATTGTCAAATCAATGTGCTGACATTTAGAGATGATAATGTCATTGCAGACACTGCATCTCAAAACAAAGTGGCTTTGCAAACCCTCATTTGAACACTACTGTTATGAACAAACTAGACTGGTCCTTCTCAGTGACATTCCTCATGGGACACACTCTGCAGCCCAGCGCAGGTGGGTCCACTCCAGAAGGGCTCACCTGCCGCCGGTCGGCCTGCAGCGGGGGTGGCGGGGGCCGAGCACAGTCCCGATAGAGCATCCGGAGCCGTTCACACTGCACTTCCACAACTGCAAGTCGCTCTCCTGGTGGGATATACACCGAATCCATGAGAACAATCCTGCAGTCCCCCAAGTGGGCTCCGACTCTTGTGTGGTAGGGTCAAAGCAATAACACACGCTCATAGAAATTAGTCAAAGTTTTGTAAAAAAGCAAATGTTGTGAGACAGCTTTGTAACTCAGCAATGGGGTTAAGGACGTAAGGCCTGCAGTTGGGCTGTCTAGATTCACATCCTGGCTCCATTGCTTGGGGCCAGACTTCTTCTCACATCCTTTGGTCATGTCAGAAGGGACTAATCCCTGGTGAAGGAGATCATTCTTGCCAAAGTAGAGGGTTAATGAAAAAGAGGAAGACCCTCAGCAAGACAGACTGACACAGTAGCTGTGACCATGGGCCTACACCTAGCAATGATTGTGAGGATGGCGCAGGACTGAGTAGAGTTACATTCTGCTGTACACGGGGTCTCTATGAGTCAGAACTGACTCAATGACACCTAACAACATGTCTCAGAGGGCTGTTGTGAAGATGAAATGAATTAATGCAAGCAGAGCCCTTAACCAAGTCCTTGGAAAGGCTAAACAGTCAGTAAATGAAAGCTATCATTCTTATCATCTAATCTGATTTTAAGATATCTAACACCTATTGAACACCTCCTCTGAGCAAAACACACTGCTAGATGTTGGAGAGTACAGACAGATGAGTTAAATCTCTTGCCCTCTGGGAAAAGAGAAACGATATGGACAGATACATAGGCAACAAAGAATAATGACCATATGATTACAAGATACAAGGCACACGCACAAGATAACTTCACTCCAGCATTCAGAGAATCGTAACGGAGACAGTGTGAAGTTAGATCCTAGAACAGAAAGGGTTTTGATAAGCAGAGAAGGAACGGAATTCTGAGTCTAGAATCAGGCAAGTGCAAGATGTCTGAGGAGTATCTTGTACCAGCCACAAAAATGAACTCCAAAGACCTACATGTAAGAGCTAAAACTACAGAACTCCTAGAAGAAAAGAGAGGTATAAATCTTCAGAAATCATCACAATGTGGAACAGGAAAAAGCTTAAAGACCAGAAAGAGATTAGAGGGTAACTAAAAAACCAAACACCATGAGAAATAATAATATAAATAATAAAAATGACCAAAAAAAAAAAAGGCTTCAACTGAAACCATTAAGGATGTTAAGTATACCCATTTCTTCCTTACAGTTTGTGGAAATGCTGGTATTAGTACATGGAGGACTATTAATATAATTGTGGATAATTTCATGTACGGTCCAATTATAGCCCTGGGGACAAAGGGTACATTTTTACTTAGAAATATCCAGACCAACTTCCAATTTATAGGGAATATGAGGACAACAGAACATGTTAAATGATACCACAGGGATACATTCAGCAAAAAATCCTTCAACGAATAAATTACAAGGGAGAAAAAGACACTGAAGGGGAATCTATATTTTAAAAGAAACTTAAGAGTCATAACAAGAAATTACAATCTGTGGACTTTATTTGGATCCTAATTCAGATTAACAAATGTAAAAAGAAGTACGCGCTTTATAAGAGAATTAGAAATTTAAATGCTGACTAGATATTTGATAACATTAAAGCATTACTGTTAATTTTCAGATATGATAAAGGTATTGTAGTTATTTTTTAAAAAGTCTTTACTCTTAGAGACACATACTATTTATTGATAAAGTAATACAATAGCTAGGATTCACTTAAAAATAATTCAGAGGGATGCAGCATAGATGAACTAGGACCGGCTCTGAAATGCTAATTAGTTAAACCAGATGGTAGAAGCGTGGGGGTTCACTTTCTTAGTCTATTTTTGTATTTGACTGAAGTTTCCCACAAACCCACACATATACACACGTGTGCATACTCATGCAAAACCCTAAGGATGGGTGTTTGTGCAAACTCTTGACTCTGAACTCAAATGGAGCCAACGGTTACAAAATGTACATGGTATCCCACCATAAAGCTCAGAAATAGCTCTATTAGAGAAATAAAGCCAACAAATTAATATGAATAAAGAAAGAAAAACCCATGACAGGGTCCTATCGTTAAACTGAAAGACAATGGTTTCATAGCTCATTTACCCTAAAAGCTTTCTATTCACATTTCCGGGCGTGGGATGAAAGTGAGTTGTGATGACTGCTGTCTTTAGAGCTCAACGGTTTGGGATGGGTGTGTCTGAAAACAGTGAACACCGCACTACCACACTGCCAGACTGCTGATGAGACGGGAGTACAGTGGGAAGGAAATTCACAGCCACTCACCTGCACTGCACTCCTGGGCTACGAGGTTAAGAACTTCAACAGCTGCTGGACACTGCTGTATGAACTCTTCACAAAACAAGCTGTCTTCCAGAAGCTGGGCCATGACCAGGCATGCTCTTAAGGTTAAAAGATTTATAACATTTCAAAGTTATCAGTGTTCTTTCTCCAAACACCCAACTGTGAAAAATATTTCAGTCAATTTTGTCCCCCGATTTTCCACAAAGTTCAACTCCCCATTGCTTTTGCTTTTTCTAGTTGTACTGGCTCAGAAATCCATGAACAACTTCCCTTTTCCCACATGGTAACTGCTGACATCACGTGGCGAGTCAGAAAAGGGAAGAGACGGCTGCCATGTCCACTAAGTGCGGACTGAAGCCCGAGGCGCCTACTCTCCAAAGTGCTTCCCAAGGCGAGCTCCATGGGTAATATTAGTGCGTGGGAACAGGAAGGTGCCAAAAGCATGGGACACTGGTCTCCTAATCCCTATAAGGACTTTCTGAGAAGCCCCCTTCTCAAAAGAAAAACTTGTTATGCTGTTTAATGGTAAACAAATAACTGTATTTGAAGGAAAAAAACTCTTTTCCCTTCCAACACCAACACCTGGAAGAATTCCCTAGGATTCTTGTCACTGGTATGGAAAGTGATGAACCACATAGCATTGGTATCATTTATCGAAGAAAAGGCTTAGTGGCTGAGGAATTCGGTGAGAGAACAAAGTTCTTTACCAAAGGGAGTCAGTGGAGCCAGCCTTAGGCATGTGTTCCATACACCACAGTTGAACAGTTTATTTCCCTAGGTGAACAATTAAGCTTTATTTCAAAGTCCAGAAATAGGGGAAAGTAGCAAACGATGGTTTGTGTGGTGTAACAAAATGGCTTCTGTTGCCGCACTTGGCATGAGCTTGGAGCTGTGGACACAGTATGCCTTGGGTGGAGGGCCCACCAAGGACTCCTGCCTCTGGTGGTGTGCCCGGGCACACGAGATGTTCTCGGGAAGGTGCTCACCTTGTTCGTATTTCTGCCAGGAGCCGAACGACTGCCATCACAGGAGCTGAGCCATCTCCTGTTGCAGGAAGTGAGGTATGAATAGAGAGACTTCCCTCCTGAGGAAGCAACATGGACTGGACTGCCTGTACTACCTTCTCAGTAATGGACAGTTTATGAAGAGGCAATGCCTGGTGGCGGTGGCGGTGGGGGGGCGGGGCAAAAAGTTAAATTCAAGTAGTTAGTTTATAAGAAATAAGGGTGTTATTATCATCTGGAGTAAATTCTCACATTTTTAGTTAAGAAAAATAAAATAAAATAAAATCCCCACACAGAACATTGTAAACCATCAACACAATTTAAAACACAATATACTGTCGAATACTCCTAGCCCGCAAAGACATGGACTTTGTCAATTTGATGAAAACATCCACACAAATGCTACTATTAAATCATCTAACAAATACGTAAACATCCATCAAAAACACATAAATACACACCACAAGCAAAACTTGTGATGACCTAGTGCTTGCGCACCTGCACCTGCACGGGCACAGTGGTCATGACTGTACAGTTATCCTTTGTAGTGACATTTTAGGATGCATTTAAAAATCACCTTACCTCTGACCTTGGAACACAAAGTCTAGACAATGGAATAGTCAGTGTGTCTGCTGCTTGCGAAGTCTTTCTACAGTCTATGGGTGGGAATCTGACTGTAGCTATACCTTCCTGTTCATTGATAGAAGCCACCACACCGATGCTTCCTGATATTCCTCTACCTAAAACCTAGAGACAGAGATAGATTAGTGCTCACGACCAGCTCTGAGGTGCAAACAGCCACCACGTGTGACAGATGGGAAGAGTCCGTTTCTAGCTGTCATTATTGGTGCTATAGGAACACTCGACTAGGATGCAGACACCAAGCCCTGGATATGAATAAAGACAGTAGGCCCCAAAACCTCACATCAAGGTCATTACAACACACCACTCTCTCTAACTTTTAATTCTAAAATTCTGCCAATGAGAATGATGTGGCAGGATGTTGTTAGCATTCTACAGAGCTGCTGCATCAAAACTGAGTGACCAACACCTACCTAACAGTAACAATACTGCACTACATTCTCAATGCTTTGCAGCATAGGGTGGTTAAGGATTCATGAGTTTGTCAGATTCCTTATTTAGCCTGAAGGAATAAGGCTTTTCTGTCTAACCAGGTGGATGGTACCCTGTCTTGCAGATGATCAATTCATCAATGAATGTTTATACACAGGGAGAAAGCAATGACCTGGAGAAAATAAAGAGAGCTGGTTACCTGAACCTCAGACCCTATCTTGATTGTCTCTTTGAAGCCTCCAAGGGCGCACAGTGCTGCTACAGCCTGCCGGGCAATTCTCTGAAGTTTGGCAAGTTTTCTGCCACTGCTGCTCCCGTTTTCCAAGATGCTTTCGGCATACTTCCCCAACTGTGGTATGTACATCAGTGCACGAGACAGGACCTAGACATAAGCAGCAGCCAGTTAAGCAGCACATGCTATTAAAGAGTTGACTGCTTTGATACAAGGACGATGCCATGCCTAAAGTTGCGTGGGTCCTAGGTCCTGAAGGAACTCTGGATATGGAAGGGGCCCAATAAGTGGCATTTTGCCCATATTTGCCTTCTGCAGAACCAGAAATACACATCCTCAAAATATGAGCAAATCAAACCATGTGTTAATAAAATCCCTAAAATAAAACAATCATTTATCTGAAGTAAAACCATCACAGCCTACTACTTACATCTCAACAGCAAGTTACTTTGAAGACATGAAAGGCACTCACTTGAAGAATGACTGTAGGAGGGGAGGCACTGACTGCAGATCTATCATTTTCGGGAAAGTGGACGCTGGTTTGTCATGATGTATTACTTACTGACAGAGCACTTGGGGTTGAATAAATCACACAGAGGCCATTCTTAGGAACTATATAAGTACACTTAAGAAATCCATATGCCAAGGCTGGGTGATTTCCTAATGGTAGAACCAATCTAGCATAAGCAAAAGGAAGAAACAAACTGCCTTTCTTTTCCCCAAGAGTACTGTCCTGTTGTCTGCAAAATTTAGAACTGGCAGCGACATGAGATGTCAGTTAACAGAGAGGAAACTGCTACATCAAACTGTTACCTCCAGGGGAGACACAGCTACAGGTACATAAGGCCAATTGGGGAAATCTCTCTTTACTAAAAGGTCCCCTGCTAGGCATGATTTGAATGCCAGAATGGAACGTGAGCGCCTCTCACGGGCCTTGAGTCCTACAGCAACAGGGCCTGACCTTTTCTGCTGTCGTGGTCCATATCTGGGCAGCGCTGGACTCAGGGGCCATCAATAAGCTGTGAAGCAAGGCGATCACTTCGGCAGCCATGCTGTTTGCCACATGCCCACTGATGAAAGGTCTCACGGGATCAGTCCTGCAAGTGTCCACATGACAAACGGTTGGCGGCCAGTGACCGGTAGGAGTGCAGAGAAGTTGCTTTCAGGGTTAGTACCGGGGGAAACACTTTCTGTTTATTCAAAGGAAGTAGATTTTTTTGACTGAGGAAAAGAGAAAATAAACTATTACTAGGAAGAAATTCCTTCTCACTTTCTGGGTGCGGAGAATCCTCTGACACAATGGACCTCCCACTTTGTATCAAAGGGGCCATGAGGATGAAGGAAGGGCACTGCACTGTGCCTACTCCCGGCCTGCAGGCACAAAGCGCACTGCACAATTCTGAGAGGCGACACTCACTCATCTCTGCTAGCCCCAGAAAGAAGGTGATGTGTACAGCTGGAGTAGTGGGCAAACTTCTTCTGAAAGAAGTAAAGACAGCAAGACCGGAGTTTACTGGGGGGAAAAAAAAACAACACTGCCAGTGTGTTCCTGGTGAGGGACTTTCTAGAAAAAAACCATCCTCTGGCTGCAAATGGCCCCTTGGCCAGCACCGCCCTACTCTTCCTCTCCAACCTCAGACCTACCTGGATGAGCACTAACCAAGAGGATCCTCACACTCTATTTTGAGAGCAATTATTATCACAGATGGGTATTGTCGGCCCTGAGTCCTCATTTCCAGCAGGCCAAGGGGAGGATATTAAATTAAAACCCTAAAAACAAACCCATTAAACAGTAACTGTGTGAAGGGCATGGAAAGTCCCACAGTGTGAAAGGTTGTACCTCGCAAGCTCAGAGTTCCTCTCGCGGCAAATGGAGGTTTGGGCAGTCTTCTTTTTGTCCCCTGTGGACAGTCCACTCACAGTCTCGGGGTTGACTGACTCTACAGGTGGCCCAACACTGACGATGAGGCCTGACTGTGCCCACTTGGTTGCCTTCCGCAGAGCAGCTACGGCCTCTTCCGTAATCACTTCACAACAGCCACCCTGGGGTCAGTTTGAACACATGCAGGGTATTTATGTCACCTTCTCAGCAGTCTATATATGCATATATTTTTAATATCTTATTGTGTTTTAGGTGAGAGTGTACACAGCAAATGAGGTTCCAGTTAACAATTTTTATACATGTTGCTCTGTGGCACTGGTTACAATTTTCACAATGTATCAGCATCCTCATGATTTCCATTCTGCTTGCTCTGTTTCCAATGGTCTAGCTCCCTGGCCCCACCTGCCTTCTCATCTTTGCTTTCCGTTAAATGTTGACACCATATGTTCTTCTATAGTTGATTGTTTAAGGGAACACATTCCTCATGGTTGATATTGTTTTACAAGCCAATCTATTATTTGGATGAAAGGTGACCATTGGGAGAGGCTTCAGTTCCAGATTCCAAATGTATCTTAGGGCAACAGTCTTGGGGATTCCTCTAGTCTTTATCAGTCTAGTAAGTCTGGTCATTTTTAGAAATTTGAGTTTTGTTCTATATTTTCCTCCCATTCTTCCAGGACCTTCCACTGTGTCCCCAGTCAGAACCATCAGTAGTGATAGCCAGACACCATCTAGTTCTTCTTGCCTCAGGACAGAAGAGGCTGTGGTTCATGCGGGCTATTAGTCCTAATAGCCTAGTCCTAGTCTTAATAGTTTCTTCTATGAATCTTTGGTTTCCTTAATTCACTTTTGCTCCACATGGGAAGAGATCAATAACTTATTTTAGATGGATACTTGCAAGCTTTTACAACCCCAGATGCTACTCACCAAACTAGGATGTAGAACATTATCTTTATGTACTATGTAATGCCAACTGACTGAGTTGTCCCACAAGACTATAGTCCCAAGCCCTTTAACCCAGTAAACCATGAACCGTGAAGTGCCTGGGTATGTCCAGGATGTCCTGGGTGTGCCTTCTAAGTGTTCTTGCTCTCACCCCTCCCGACATACATGAAAAAAAAAAAAATGTATATAAAGTAAATGAATAGATGTAGCACATCCAAACATGCATGTACTCATGTCTACAGATATACCTATGTATGCACTTGCATGTACTCACATATATCTTCCCATACCATGTAGCATACACATCTACCTCTGTACCCACAGCTGTAGTTTTTGGTTGTTATCACAGTTGCTACAAACTCGTACACATTATAACATTTACCGTAACTGTCCTTTATTCCTGTGTGCCTCTCAGTGTCTTCATTTACCGTGGTCAAGTTGTGCTGACCTCCCCCACACTGTGACCTGCCTTTCCCGTCACTAGAAGTAACAGGTGCCCCCACACTGTGACCTGCCTTTCCCATCACTAGAAGTAACAGGTATCTATTACCCAGCAAGTGATTCCCCTTCTTCTCCTCCAAACCACTACACTTTTTAAAATCTGTTTCCCCTGTGAGCAATTACCAAAGCAAGGCTCACTCATTAAAACTCAAATACTAAAACATGAAATGGAGAAAGTGAAATTCCCATCAACATTCCAGCGCTGACCTAGTCAGAGGTCAGTGTCAGTCCTCTACATGTGTTCTCTATCCATATCCTAACATACAAAATCATGGCTTCGCACTATGCACACAGTTTTTCAATTTGTTTTTATCAGTTATCAATATATTGATTACTTTTCTACATCAGTGTATACGATCTACCTCATTGTTCTTCTAAATATTTTTAAATTACTTTATTATTTTTGCGGTGTTCCTTCTACCTCAGTATTTTTAAGAGCTGAACAATATTTCAGCTCTAAAAATATTATGTTATGAATATAACAGTGTCTTTAACCAATATGCTATTTATGGGCACACAAATGCAATTTTTTTTTTTTTTTGGTTTTTCAAACAAAACTGTGCTGAACATGCTGTAGGTTCACTTCTGAAAACTTGAGGGTGTCTATTTACGTCACCTTGACAATGAGGGTTATTAGCAATCTTTACCCATCTGCCAGGTGAAAAATGAGGTACTACTGTCACTTTTATTCCTTTCTTTTACTTAATGGTGAGCCTGGGCATCTTTTTATATTTTTATGGGCTATTTGTTTTTCTTCCTTATTATCTGTTATTCTCCTAACAACCTTACACTTTCAAACTATTTTCAGGCTGTAAAACTTTCTTAAAAGAATGAAGACAAAATTTACAGATCAAAATTAAGATTTTTCTTTTACATTTGACATTAACGACAAACGGACTTTTGACTAATTCTCTTTAAAATGGCTTCAGTTAAGCCACCGACTTCGATTTACTTCTGCTGCCTCTTTGTGGGAACTTGTATTGTTTTTCCTCTTGAGAACCTGAAGCACAGTGAATGCTGCTCAATCCCGGGGTTCATCAGAGCAGGGTTCTCCACTGCATGGTTACCTTGGTCATGTCGCGATCCATTTTCACGACTTTCTCCATGTTGGCACCAGTACCAAGCCGGAAGGGCCGTCCTTCTGAGCTACTACAAAAGGAAAGAGAAAGAAAGGCACAGATTTACAGACAATGTCAAAACAGGAGGCTATGTGCTATAAGGTAACCTAATAAGACTCTCAATTTTTCAGAAAGAAAATGATTTGCTACTTTAGGGCCTGAAACCACCACCATTTTCAGAATTGTGATGATATTGACTCATCTACCTCAAAATGAGATATAAACTACAGAGCTGAACATAAATAACCACCTGAACTAATAACAGACAGAGGGCCTGGCAGACAGAGGGCACTCAGTAATTATCTAAATCCCAGGGCAGGGGTATTTAATACTTTGATGGGCGTGACTGGTTCTACCTTTCTAGTAACTGAGCTTTCCCATCTTCTTAAACCTGGCTCTTTAAATAATCTTTCACCCAGTTTGTACTGTGACATTTGCAATGCAAAAGAATGTTTCTTGGAGATTTCTTCATCTAAACTGACCTACCCCAACCCTGCTTAGTTCACGCCATCATCTCATTAGTTCTTGCAGCTGACAGAATAGTAGGCAAGCGATCCAAGTATGGGATGACAACATCTTTAAATCATTTATTTGAAGAGAGCACTCCTCCACCTGAGACATAAACTACTACCTGCCCTAGATTCCCACGTGCTGTGTGGAACCGCTTCCTGTTCTGGCTCTCACTAATAGAGCCCTGTAGGAATGTAACATGTGGACAATAATTATATTTTTACTTCCTTGTTGAGCAATGCAGTAAAAACTCAATGAATTAAAGGTTTCGAAAACTTTCCCTATTTCTCTGCCTCACAGTTAATGGTCTCCCCAAATCATGGCTGAAGGATGCCGATAACTGAAAACCAAGCCGCAGCATTCCTTCTCAAAGCCCAAGGAAATGGTAGCCTTTCCATGAGACACAGAAAGGAATGCATTCTCAGCAGTGCTTTAGTCTTCTGGTGAGTTCTGAGTTGGGGTTAAGTGCTTGCGTACTGTGTTCATCTCTGCCCAAGTTTCTTCAAGTGTATTATCAGGAATGATAGAAGAGTGTCTACCTCCAAGGGCTGTTAAGGGGGCTGAGTCAGATGATGTACGTAAGGGTCTCATTTAGCACCAGGCCTGCAGCATAGCATGGCTGCCTGCAACGTGGTTAGTGTTCAGTGACTAGCAGCGGCTGCAGTCATCAGTCACCTTAGTAACGGCTGGAGGACTTCATGGGATGACTGGTCTCCCCGCTTGTGGATAAATATAGAGAGCTTGCCGTCCACTGCTTCACTCTCTTCTCCAGGGTCTTTATCTCCCTTTAAGGAGCTCTTGGGACTGGTTTTTGTCAATGTGGTGTCGGGTTCAGAAGCAGTAGGAGAAAGAACTGTCTGACATCCTTTAAGGAAAAAGCAAAGACCATTCAGAAACACTGCAGTGTTGCTTCTGCAGCTCCCCTACCTGGGAAAAATGCAGCCTTTGGACTCTCTCTGCTCTACGACCCCCTCTGTCCCTTCTGTCTCTCTCTTCTATCAGAGTAAGCACAGCTACAATTGAGGGCAAGTTAGGTCTCTCAGACTCACTGTCGACAAGAAGCCCATTTCTCTGTCTGAGAGTTCCTCACCTGGGACCACATAATCTGCCAGTTTTGCCAAGAGCAATGATGCGATCTTGGAAGCTGGGTCGCTGGGATCCTCCTGCTCACTGTTTAAGGAGGGGACAGAGTAACTCCATGGTGGGAGCTCCACGTTTCCACAGTCTTCCACGCTCATCAGCGGGAGTGCTGCCCGGCACAGCTGAAGAATGATGAGGACCAGCTTCGGAGATGGGCGTTGGTCAAGCAGCAGGGAGAGGAGTTTGGACACACAAGCGGGCTGGCTCAGGATGGCTTTACCAATGTGACTCCTGGGAAAGAAGGAAGAAAAGGTAAAGAAACAAAACTAGGAATTTTGATCCAAAGAAACTTACAAAGAAGAGCTCCCTGAATGAGGCTAAACCAAGCGATGAGGCCAGATTTCACAGGGAGGACATGGACTTGGCATTATGCTTTGATGAAGGAGAATTAAGGTTTTGGGTAAACATGTGGTAAGAGTTCATCAGTGACCAATAATACTTGAAAAATGATTCTTGACTGTTTTCTGATCCCCCTTTTTTTTTGCAAAATGGCTCACATGTGATGGTATTAAACACCAGAGTATTTTATCTTAAAGACACAGCAGAGAAATCTAGTTACTCAAGGCCCTGAATGATTATTTTTTGATCCTGCTATAAGGGGATAAGGATTTTGGCTATCAAATGTAACTGTATCTACTTGAAAGGCTAGCAGCTGTTGTCAGCAAAGTATTAAGGAAATGATAATATTTTACAATTACTTCAACAATCCTCACATTTGGAACATAAGTACTCACTATGTTTCAATGACTTGATTCTCTTATCATTTTCCTTGAGGCAGGAGCCTATCAAAAGGGCTTAGTAACTTCTGTGCTTCAAAAGACCACCACCCACACAAGAAAACCCCAGGTGCTCAAGAGGAGGGCCAGCTGCTCCGTCACTCTGGGCCATCCTACCTGGAGAGATCATTGAGAAGACTCAGGACATCCTGGAGGGCATCGTTCCCAGCAGCCTGGTTGCCGCAGCACTCAGTGGCTCGAGCAAGATGGTTGGTAAGCAGGCTGGACACCTGGCGAGCCAGCCCAGAGTGCACGGCCTCTGTGGAGCCCCCTGTGAAGCAGAGAGAAGCAGCAGGCTGAGAAACACCTTGTATCAAAGCCCTCCCGGGCCAATCTGTCTCTATTTTCTCAGTATTTCATTAACCATCCACTTAGTGCTTCCGCATTAGAGGAAACCTGCCAAAACCATTCAATGTTGGAGGGAGACACTGTTCTTAATTAAAACTGAATATAATTAATCCATAAGTAACCCAGGAACACACTTTGATTGACAGGGAAGAATCACCATTCTACTGGTGATGAAAACATCTTGGTTTTTAACTCCTACTCTACCTCTTCTCTAGGAGCCCTGATGGCTTATTGCCTAAGGCATTTGACTGCTAACCAGAAGGCTGGCAGTTCAAACCCACCAGCCGCTCCTCAGAAGGAAGGTTGGCCAATCAATCACTCCTCTGTAGTGATACCGGAAACCCAAGGAGGGGTCACTATGAGTCGGGGTGACTAGAGGGCACGTAACAACAACAACAACTATCTCTTCTCAAACACAATAAAAGACATTTTGGGATCTTTCTATCTGCACTGGAGTTCCAGAGAGCCCCAGGCATCCCTCGTAGAAGCCACAAAAGATCATTAGTCATCTTCTGAACTTCCTTGCACCCAGGGTTAGATCTCTGCACTGACCCCTCCTTCAAGAATAATTCACACATCACCTTCTCTGAGAATCTCTCCTGCCCTTAGCACAGCTGCCCATTTTCACAGTGTAACATAAGCCCTAATGGCCTCATGTGATGGTACAGGAACTCCATCATCAGGAATTTATCCAGGACTTTTAGGTGTCTGTCAGCAGGCCAGCTTATTTACTCAGAGTGATAATATTATTAGATAGTCAAAGGCAAAATTCCAATTTTTAAAATTAGAAAAACATTTTTATTTATTACGATATCACTTGCACAAAACACATATAAAGTATGTAGAGTCTGCTATGCTCCCACTACACTTTGTATGCATCGACTATGGCACTGGTTATACTGTAATCACTGTTCACTGGTCTATTTCCCCTACTGGACCATGGCTTAAAGGGAAGAACGTCCTGTTCCACTTCTGGCACACAGCAGGACCTCAGGATATTAAAATGGATACCGAATGAACAAAAAGATAAACAAACAACTATATATGCAGACCTGAGATATTTTAGTGAAATTATCCTTCATTCTACTTTTCAAATTGGATTAGTAACTAAAATTACTATTTGGAAATATCATCTTGAAATGCAATTGAAAACCATCTCATAAAAACATTTCTTTGAAGACTGTTGGCTGGATTGGTTAAGAAAGAAATGAAAAGTACCGTCTCAATTTTCTGGGGTTAGTATATAGCTCAGGGTCCCAGGATGCTGTTTAGTGTCCTGGTGTAGTTATAGATTTTCATAGACCCATACTGAGGCAAAGCGCTCACGAAGCCCCTAATTGAGTAAACTCATCTGGTTATGTAATTTAGCGTCCCTGCACCCTATCCATTGCATAACTCTCAACACTGAGCAGAAGAATCCATGTACTCTGGAAAGGAGTCCCACTCCTTACCTTCTTCCTTTTCCCACTCCACACAGCGGTTGGCAAGCACCTGGAAGGCTGCCCAGGCCATGGTGGCCACCTTCTGTTTCTTGGTTTGTTTCTCACTGGAGCTGGACTCAGTCTGACTGCTCAAGCTACAAAGTCGGTCCATGAGCTGGACAAGACCACTGCGGACAAGGCATTTCTCTTCACTCCTGGGCAAAGGGGAAAGGGTTGAATGAAACAAATACAACTGACTGGCCCTCAAGAAACTCTCACTTAAGGTCCAAGTTGTCAAGGGGCAGAGGCCTGTCAGTACAGTTCTCTGTGTACAACTTAGGGTACTATTATGCACAATTAAATGCAAAAACATTTGTGATGATGGCTTTCTTTGTAAATAAGGGACTGCAAATTCTGGTCTGTTCATGTAAGACAGAGGATAAAAATCAATGGAATCAACTCAAGGTTGCCACACTGGAAAAAATGATGTATTTCATGGCAAAAGAATTCAAAGAATGACTCCATGAGTGCTTGACAACTTTAAGCTATTAATCAAGTCAGCAAAGAAAGATGATAAATGTACATATGCAAAAAAAAAAATTATTTTTTTTGCTAAATTGTAATTCCTTAAGAAACTTTTATTTTCCTTCAAACATGCCCATTTTCACAGTGTAATATAATCCCTAGTGTCTCAATGTGATGGTGTAGGGATGCAATAATCAGGAATTTACACAGGAACTTTACATGTCTGTCACAGGCAAGCTTGTTTAGCCAGAGTGATAGTATTACTGGCTAGTCAAAGCCAAAATCCAATTTTGAAATTAAAAATATTTTTTCTTTAACTTTATTTGGATATAACTTACATACAATAAGAGGCATTTCCTGGCTTACCTGGTGTAAGGTATGGTACATAAGAGCCCGATGCTATTTGCACACGCAATAGGGTAACGAGCACACAAAGACACTACAGAGGTCATGGTCTCTCCGAAGGCTTCCTGGACCTGCTCAACCATCCCACCGCAGGTGAGCTCTTCAATTCTGTGAAACAGAAACCAAAACCATGAACCATGTTATGAACAGCGATGGCGATTACGAGCAGAAGAGTTCTTTTGAGAAACCCAAAGTGTCCAGATGAGTCCAGGACTGGGGAATCTTAGCAATCACTGAACTGAGTGTTTCCCAAACTGTAGGAACACAGAAAACTCTTGAACAGGAGTTATAGGTGTGCCTCAAAGTCAATGGTCCACACTCAAGGAAAGGAGGGGAAGTCTGGGTTAGGTAAAGTTAGACAGGTTTCTCAACCACAGAGCTTCTCAGAACCTTTCATAAAGCATCTCTAAGAACAAGAGGACAGTACCCAACATTTCCCAGACTGATTTGATAATGCAACCATTTACTTGAGACCCATCTACAATATTCCATGCAACAATGAATACTGTGAATGTAATTTTACTAATGAGAAAACTAAGGCCCAACCAGATTAGCTGAGTGTCTGTTTCAAATTCACACTCAGGTTATTAGCAGAACATAAGAACCCAGTTGATATGAAGTAAAATTTCCCCAATGTAAACACACAACACGGGCCCTGAAGAACAGTCCTTGGCTGCTCTAGACAGGACAGCATAAACTGATGGAAACCACTGACCTGGGTCCTCCTTGCAGGACCATCGTCACTGGGCCCACAAGATGTGTCACCCCCCCGACCCGCACAGCAGCCGTCAGCAATTCCCGCATGTGCACCAGGGCCTGCTTGCGAGTGTTGCCTCGCCGCCACCTTGTCTGCGCAGCTAAAAGAAAGCTGCTGCTGGACACCTGGAATGCATAACAAGGAAACAGATGTGATGCCTTCTAACTGTCACAAGGCCATTTGCATCGTGGGCTCATCTGTAGTCGGCAAAATGTGACCTACGGCTTGGTCAGGGTTGGTGCCAATGAAAGCAAACAGCTGCCCCAGCAGAACGCTGTAGGTGGGCTTGTCCCTGCTGTCCTCGATGGCCAACGACTGCAGGAGTGTAAACGAGCTACTGCGGTGGCTGGTCACGTGGCGCCGCCTACGGGGGAAAACAAAAAAGCGTTAGATCAGCAGTACAAGAAACACTCAGGGAGCTGGCTGGGATGAATGCATTCAGCTGCATGTGGGAATCGAACCTTGGCCGTTAGCCATTTACCTCTGATTTGCTCTGGTAAATTCCAAGTCCTCATTACCAATCATTTCCAAATCAGAAGGAGCTGACATGCTGCGAAGAAAGACAGGCTGCCGGACAGCATGAGAGATCACCTTTGTTTCAGAAGCTGATTTACAAGCTGGAAGAGAAAGGAGTAACAAGGCTATACAAAATTTCTGCTGTATCTCCTACCACAGCTCAGCCCCCAGCTAGCATGGCACACTGATGGTTTTTAGGATAATTCTAAAAAAAAAATTCTAATCATTAGGTAACCAATTCTAGCTTGAAAAATTAAAATATTCTTACTAAGTTAGTTTTCACAAAAAAAGGTTGAAAAGTTCACTGAATTTCCCAAAGCATTCATTTTTATTTTAACATAAGCATTCTCAAAAGCAAGAGAAGACAGAGAAAATCATTTCTGGAATTCACGTAAATCCAGACCTGTTTTTTTCCCCCGAAATGGCCTTTGTCCCCATTAGTCCTAGATTTATTTAACTGGCCTCTTGCCATTTGGTGATCTCACTGCTCTGGTCATGGCTGGTGGAGTAATACCACTCCTGAGCTGGAATCGGACTGGACTTTCTTAGCAGATTAGCCCTTAACCCTGCTGTCCATGGAAGTAACTTTCATAAAAGAATAGTTAATGGAAGCAGATAACACCAGCACATAAAGATCAGTTAAGAAAAAAGATGTTGAGAGAACGGAGATGTCATTTTGTTTCTGTCTTAAGAGTAGTTAGACGGCTTAAATCCAAAAGAATTTATCATTTTGAAGCTGTTACTTCTCAAGATACTATCGGTTCATTATTTCTGATGCCCACAGGCTCTTGGGAAGTATCACCAGCCTTACTGAGTGCTTACATCCTCATATGGGACTTGTAATTAATCAAGGGCTTATGCAGCCAGAGATACGATGAAGTGGGCCATCTCGGCACATGACTGTACCACATACTCAGCAGGAAGTGGTATCCTATCACTGGCGTCAGAAACCTGGGAGTCATTCCACACTCCTGATTCCAAATGAGAGGGGCACTGGGTGATCAGCTGTGATGAAAACAGATCTGCTTGCTCAATACCTCCCATTAGGCAACAGGGCCAGACCACACGGATGGGAGTCAGGCGCCCTAGGAGGGCTCTCGTGAATAGTACCTGGGGTTTCCGCAGGCGTCCCAGAGATGCTTCTTGTGAGGCCTGACTGGGCCGCAATGGTAACATGCAGCAACAGCTCGGCTCGGTTCATGAGACTCTTCACTAATGTCTTCGTTTTAGCCAGTGGGTGTGAGGGCTTTGGAAGAAGAGAATTCACTTCTTGTAGGAACTTTTCCCTGTAAAGAAAGGCTAATGTGCATTTAATTGTTCTCTATCTTTTCAAAAACAATGTGTGTGTGTGTGTGTGTGTGTTTAATTACAAAGGATATGAAAAGAGACAGGAGAAACTAAGCAAAAATAATCAAAGTAAGCACATGTTCACTTTTCCCCTTTCCCCGTCCAAGGAGAGCAGTATCATAAACTGTGGCATATTCCCAGTTTCAAATGTCTATATGTTAATTTTTGAATCTTTTTCCTTCCAAATTAGCAAAAGAGTTCCAACTCTAAAATATTTAGTGAATGCACAAATTAAAAAAAAAAAAAAAAAATCTATTAAGAGACTAATCTTCACATTTGGTTTTGAGCATCAGGTAAACAAATTAACCCTAGGTAGTTATTAACATCACTAACCTCAGTGAAAGGACCATGTTTTCAAGATCATTTCCATCAAAGGAGACGTCCTTCATGGAACACAAAAGTTCTAGTTCTTTCATTTTGTTCTAAAGAAGGAAAAGGCAAGAAAAGATGGCATGCAGGATCTGCAAACCCCAAGTTTTACTGTACATATGTTAATGAGAACAGAAAATTTCACGGGGGGGGGGGCGACATTTGGTCCACATTCTATGCCTGAAGCACATCTGTCAGTCATGAATTGGTATTTTGAGGATCCCTGGTGGTGCAGTGGTTAAAGTGCTTGGCTGCTAACTGAAACATCAGTGGTTCAAACCCACCAGCCACCCACGGGAGAAAGATGAGGCAGTCTGCTTCAATAAAGATTTACAGCCTTGCAAACCTTACAGGGCAGTTCTACTCTGTCCTACAGGGTCACTATGAGTTGGAATCAATTTGACAGTAGTGGGTTTGGTTGCTTTTTTTTTTTCTTTTTAAGATGAAATTTTAATGGTTAAAAATGGCATTGTCAGCTACTTTCTGGGGATTCTTGTCTTTTTTGTTTTTTAAGCCTTGAAAGCAAAATTTGATTGCAGTAACTTATTTTGACTTTTATTAAACTTTTAATCCATTAAAAAACAACTTAGTAATTTGTTTTTTCTTTATTGACATCTTGATCTACTCAATTTTCATTCAACCTCTTTTAAAGAATGGGTATGTTTTAGGGTACACAACGTGTTTGGCTATGACATTATTTGATTTCTACACACATGTGGCGTACACCTTTCCTCTATGAACAGCAATGTCTCCGTGATAAATCAGACAATTTGCTCACCTCATTAAAATGGTAATCATAAAAGAAAGGCATGTTGTTCTCCAGTTTCCCCTGCATGGCATCATCAACCTCACTTTGCCATTTCTGTTCCAATTCTGCAACACTCTGATACATTAAAATAAAACAAGATGTAAATACATGGGGGGGATGTAATCTGTGAATTCAGAAATTCTAGTTGTACTCATAATTAAAAAAATAAAACAAAACAAATAAAGCTCAGATCAAGTTTGAAGCTTCCAGAAAAGCATTTATTTCTAACAGTTGTAAGAGAAAAGTGTTAGCTTTTACTTACTTGCAGCTGTCTCTGCATGGCATTGAGTTTTTTAAAGGTCTCTCCCATAATTTTACACAATAAATCATATTCCTCAGCATGTTCTTCTTGGTATTGGAAATTTATTAGGGACTGCAATGCATCCACCAAGTTCAAGTGCTTAATAACACAAGACACCACCATTTCCTCCATCACATCTGGCTGAATCACTTCCCTGTGATTACAATGGAAATCAGGCAGATGTACAACATGCTCTCAACTCAACAACACTGTAGTGTACAGATTCACGAAAGCAGGCTTTGATTGAAATATGCTAAATATATTCACCAGACCTTCTTTAATATAATAAAGTTAGAGGCATGAACATAATGACAGCTTTTACATCAAGTTAGCAATACTTTAGTAAATTAGCCGATAATCAAAATTAAAGAGGCTTCATTTTTATGACTGATATATTTTGACCTAGAGTCATATGAGAACTGGAATAGGTCTAAGACTAAAATAAGATCTTCAGCACCAGTTATCTACTGATTAATTTTACACAATGTGATGGTGTGTGGTATTTAGCGCATATAGATGTTAGGCTGTGATAATGGTGTTTCTGTAGTCTCTCATTTTAAATTTCATCTATTCTCTAAATTTTTCTCTCTCAGATGGCCACTCTGACCTCTAGAGGCAGAGCAGAAGTAAAGGAATTTAAGAAAATGTTAAACAGGAATACCACAAGGACAGCTGTGACTTCAAGATTTCATATTCTCGATGAAAAACCTCTCCCCATCACTCTAAGCATCAAATACAAAGGAATGTCTCTAGACTTCATGGAAATCAAAGAACAACTACTACTAGATCAGACCACCTAGAAAAACATTGGTGTGCATCAGAATCATCTGGGCAGCTTGTTTAAACAGCTCACTGATGAAGCCCCCGGAACTAATTCAGTAGGTAAGGAGCAGCCGAGACCTGCTTTTCCAACACATTCCCAAGTGGTGTTAATGCTGCGGGGTGGAGGGCCATACTTTGAGATCCACTGGCCTAGACCACCACCTGGAGGGCTCCCCTGAGTCCTCAATAGCAATCTTCATGAAGTAAACATAAAATTAAAGGTTCATTCAATCAACCACAAGAAGAAATACACCCTTTTCAATTGTTTAAAATTGTTCTCATGTGAAAAAAGAAACTGGTATATAGCAACATACTTTATACTTGGTCTAAACTGAGGTCTAGCACGCCCAGAAATTTCCCTGAGCTTTATCATGATTCCTGGAGGCAGCCTGATCCGGGGCAGATCAAAATAGTTTCCCACGGGAGGAACGAGGACATCGGAGGGGTAGGTGAATTCTCTGTCTTCCTCTATGGTCAGAGGCAATGGTGAGGGGCTGGGCGTAAGGGCAGGGGAGATCACTCCATTGGCCTCCACCTGCCACTGGCACCTGAGCAAACAAAACAGAAGCCGTCACACTCTTACTTCTAGCAAACTCACTGGAGAGCACATTAAAATTTTCAAATTTAACAGAAATATGAAGTATCACATTATGCGTTAAGGAGAGCATGCAGTACATGAAAGCACGTCTTTGGGAATCCACCTTTTCGCCAAAATTTTATTATGAAACTTTTAAAGAAACAGGGAAGTTGAATGACACGGTTAACATCCACACACTGCCACTGAGATTCCACAATAAACATCTGGCCCCATTTGCTTTGTCACATCTCTATCCAGCCCTGGGGGAGCCTTTCAGCTAATTACACAATAGTTGGTTGGGGAAGAGCTTATGCAGTTCAAGCTGTAACATTAAACTCAGTAAAGTAAGAACCAGAAGGGACTTTGGTGTAATTTTCATCTCACTTCTTAGACACCATGACTCCCATGAGGTTGTCAGGCAGTAGTACCATCAGCTGGGAAATGTCCTAAAAGTCATTTTCCACAGTTAAAGTTCTGTTTCCTTTTTGAGCAAAAGTAGCTCGATTTCAGCCTTTTAATTACCTTTGTAAAAGTTTGGACCGCAGTAGCTCCTGACAGGCTTCTTCTTCTTTGGTAATTTCTGGTCCATTGTACAGGATTCTTAACATGGAACAAGCTAATACAGACAGACCAAGAGCCAGGTCTACCAGAAAGGGCAAGCCTCCCGAGACATCCTCCGAAGATTCCTACAAAGCAGACGGGGGTAAACCACATTGGTCAGTGTGCACTGGTGGCCCACTCCATCTGTGCTGCCCCACGCTGCACCGTTCCCAACCACTGGGTTTCACCCAGCAGCAGCAAGTGTCATTGCTATGGTACAACGTACGGCACCCAACATCATGAGTGGATGGTGGTACTGAAATGACCACGGTATGAAGTCTCAACAAAACTCTGGGGGAAAATAACCACTAAGCCTCCATATTAGAAATGGCCAAAGTCACATGCAAGTAGCCCAGATTCTCTGGGTCACTTGCTGTCTGATGTGCCTACACAGATATACATCACTATTTCATATTGTTACCTCTATCTTGGCCTCGAACTATCACGTTGTCAATGATGGCCCTGAATTCATCCAACAAGTATTTATTGAATGTCTACTATGTACCAGGCATTGTCCTAGGTGCCTGAGATACATCAGAGAACAAAACAAAGGTCCCTGCCCTCATGGAGCTTACATTCTAGTAGTTAATTCCACTCCAGATATTCTTAGCTTGGTTAAACTTAAGCAAACTCCAGCCTAAAATAAGTTTCCAAAATCAGACCAGTAGAGAGGTTAATAAGCTCCTTGTACTCTTAAAATCCAGAATCCAGGTGCTTACTTCTCTATTAAGTGTTCAAGTGTTCTTCACCCTATGGAAAGATGCTGGAGTCAGGTCACCTACCCAGGTTTTGAAGACACAGCCCCTACCAATGGATAATTTCTGCACTGCTGAATTGGTTTTACGCTGCAGTTAGTGCTTATTCTATGAAAAGAAATACAACGGTTGACAACCACCAAATGGAAGAGACAATGAAAGAGTGGCTCATATTTTGCCCCGTTTTCAAGGCAAATATGATGTATGTAACCAAGGCACATAAGAGAAAGTACAATACGCCCACAGCAGTGGTGAGAGTCAAGTACCTGAGCGCGAACTGTGCAAGCAAAGCCCCACATAGCTTTATCAGGAGTGTTGTGTTCACGGCCACTTCTCATTTCAAAGGAGAAGGTGACTGTATCTCCTTCCACCTTAAAATTTAAGGGGGAGGGGGGAGAAAGGCACTTTAAAAATGAGACATTTTTTAAGACAGCAATGAATTTCAGTGATTCACTTTCAAAAGGACTACTGCAATATTTCACTCCTTTTTCTCATTCTCTGTGTAAATTCAATTTCCATGTCTTCTCATTTTAGACACTAGCCTCTTAGGTGGCTCTCCTGACCAGGGAGCTTGTGGCACTAGGAAACTATGAAATGGGCCACAATTGCCCAATAGCAAGCGCAAAGTAATGATTAATCAAATCTTGAGCCTAACTGCCAATAAGTCCTTCAGGTTTCTATTGCTTTTGCCTCCCTCTCTCCACTTCATCACCTCCCTGGTGTCAACAATGCAGGCAAACAGCCAGTCCACTTGAATAACTGGCCAAGTGCTGGAAGACCTTGCTGTGTCTTATCACCAACACCACACGCGAGATACACAATGAACCAAACCAGAACACAGTTGAAAGCGCTGCGTTGGTCAGGATCTGGATATAGCCCTGCAGGCAACTTGTCTATGATTAAGTTAAAGAAGGTACACAACGTGTGTAAAATAAAGGTTCAGAAGGCAGACTTTGGAACAGTTCTCAGGTGTTTATGGGCATTTCAGTTCACATTTATTTTCCAGGCAAATACAGAGTAGTTCAAGGGTCCAAATTATGAAGTGTCACCCAAACCTCACCAACAGATCATTTTCTTTGCTCCAAAGGCCCAAATTCACTTGAAATGAATTCAACACTTTCAAACTACAGTGGCCCTGTGACCCAGGCTACCAATCATAAGGCAGTGCAGAGAAGAAGTGAGCTGAAAGAACGACTCATCCTTTTAACAGACAGGGAAGACAATGCTGTGATAACTGCGGTGTCCATGGAATGGACATGTTCTGGAAAGGCCAGGGGTCATCCCTACCAGTGAAAGGAGGGTCAGGCTGAACGTAAGTGTGAGCGCACAGGCCTGTCAAGGCTGCCCCATCCTCAACCAAGCCTTGCTGGCCATTTTTTTCTGAGATTTTAGTACTACTTGGGCCCATGAAGAATGAAAGAGTTCAGTTTTCCTTTCTAGGAAGTGGTTATGACTGGATACCGTACCTTCACCAAGTCTTTCGGCCAGCCAGTTCCTAAGACACTACGGCTGCCGTATCCCAGTGTGTTGCCTCCATATTCAGCAACCTTCCTACTGTTTGTGTTAGGCCCCGCGTATATCACCAACTTCAAAACAGAAAATATACTGTTAGACTGTAAAAGAAAAACAAAAACAACATCTACAAATAAAAAGGCTGCAAGAAATATTTGTTTAAATAAACATTTATAACCAGGCACTGGTGTCATTATAACTAATATTTCCATTTTTTTTTCCCCCTAAGATTCAACTGATACCAGTTTGGATGCAATCAGCCACTGGTGTTTATAGGGCAGCCAAAGGGTAACAATGATCAAAATAAAACATTTTAACGTATCTTTTACTTTTTTTGTGTATTATCACAATTTGATAACCTTATAGATCTCATTTTAAAGTAGTTATACTTGGTTATCATACTTTTTTTTAAACAGTTATTTTACTCTTAATTAATGACATATAACACTAAGAATAAAGTATAGTTCGCTCCCTGAAAGCCTCCCCAAAATTAATAAAGTGAGCAAATACAGATGAAAAAATATCTACGAACAACAAAATAAAAGCATCAAAAGAATTAAGAAATACATGAAAAAAAAACTGAAATGCAACAAATTGAAAACAAGCCATATAGTCTCAGAATGTTGCTTAATGGCATACAAGGAAACTGACAGAACTTTGGGCTAGAAAGCTGCTTCTTGGGTCAGTTTCCATGTATCAACACTTCTCTTCAATGAAGAAATTCGTCAGTCATGAGCAATCAGTCAACTCTCTAATATGCAGAAGGAACATGCAAAGGCCATTTGGCATTCGAGTACTTCCAGAAGAGACAGCAAGCTCTGGTGTCCATCTATCCCAAACCCTGTCTTCCAATGGGCACTTCTGACTGGGGAAGAGCTAAGTTTGGATCTAAAAGTAGACTGATTACCCCTGGACACTTCTCATTTTGTGACTTTTTACCCTTTAGACCTTTTGCTGACACCAGCCAGGAGGCATTGGAAATGTCAGTGTCAATTTTATCCATGCAGTAAACCTCTTTGTACTTCATCACTTAACACTAATGTCTACTGCAGGTGGAGGTGAGTGTACATGAGAAGATGCAAATTACTGTCTTTAAAGGAGAAACAAAATCAACATCAACTAAAATGGCAGCCCCTTCCATTTTCACTTTAAATAGTCATCGTACTTGAATCTAGGAAACGGGGTAGACGTGACTCCAGGAGACAGACGGTCTGAAGGCCCCTAAGGCCGTCTTCTATATTCTTTTGCCCCCACCTAAGATAAGTTTTAGGGGCAGCTCTTAAGCCTCTCTAGACGTCCAGGAACCTTCCCTACCCTAAATACTGTGGGGAAGAAGATCTCTTAACTTGCCCAGTTGTATGTTTCACCATCTCATATTATGTGTCGTTAAGAAGGTCCTTAATTTATAACCTAAAAATCTCCCCTGATGGGATGGAAGACCATTTGCCCTTACACAGTTCACAGAGGAGAGACCTAAGAGATAGCTACAATCTACACAAAACAACCCTGCATATGCTCTAAGCTTTACACAATGCTCCAGTTCTTCTTTCATGTGTTACCTATCCTAATTTCTTTAGCCTTTCCTCCGAAGTCCAACATGACTAGAAATCAAAGAAAAGCAGTAATAATTTGGGATAAAAACACATCAGTTTGTGTACAATTTCCTTTCATTTATAATTGGTAAGTCACCAGGTTGAAAACTACTCTTTCTCAAAATCTATGTGGGCCCAGAGGTAAAATCAAACAGAAACAAATAACTGAAAAAAACAGCAACTTGATCCTAGCCCATCTGATACCCTTATAAATGACCACCTTCTCCCAAAAGATACATGAGGAGCCTCAAGAATTGGGCAGGAAGAGCTTCCTATAAGAATGGACAGCACACATCAACAGGAATTCTAAGCACAGAGAGGGAGGAATGTAAGCAGAATGAGAAAGGAAATTTTCTCTGACTCGGAGCTGTGTTTTGAAAGCTTACAGAAGCAGACTTTCAAACTGTCATTAAAATACTGCTCTTAGGCCGCAGAGGTGGTGGCTCTTTAAGTCCCTCAATCGCTACCTTCACAGATATCTGCAGACGGAAGTTAAGTCAAGAATGGTGACCAGCAGCAAAGAAAAAGAAGAAGCTTCTAAGAAATCAGCTTACTAGAGTTGGAAACAAGGAGCCAGCTCTTGCTTACTTTGTCGTAGTCGTACTGTGAAGAGCATCTGCTGTCAAATCTGAGATACAGGCAGCGAGCTCCAGGGATATGGACAGTTTCTTTAAATTTATAGTTGTCTCTGACAGGGTGCACTGTTTCCACAGTCTTCCCAGCAGCCCATGGGGCGGGAATCTTTAAGCCCGTGAGAAAGCCTGGCTCCTCCTTTTCTTCTAGCATTCTAAAACCAGACACAGAGAGTGGGTTAGCTTAGCAGCAAGGAAGGGAAAAACAAAAACCATAGGCACTAAAATACTAAAGGGTCAGAAATTGCTCTTGACTTTTCCCTAGCATGCAGTATGAAAACACTGTGGTTTGTCAGTGGTGAGCAGACACATGGAAAAAATCCCTATGTCTAAGGTGTTTTTTTCTCCCCCTCTCTTTTTGCTGTTAAACACAGTATTTGCATTTTTTCCTCTTTTTTCAAAGGAGAAGCCCAAATGGCATCCAGGAATTCGTCCGAAAAACACGCTGCTGTTGACCTGCTGGTGTCTGACCTCCCAGTGGCCCAGCTTCCAGCACCACAGCAACACACGCGCCACCTCAATGTGACCAACTGACAGACGAGGTGGCCCACAGGATGACTGCGCTATAAAAGTCCCTTCTGTGGATACCTACAGGGCAGGTGTGGATGCCCCCACGAGCATACACAACCGCAAAATCTTCACTGTCATTTTCAGTAAAGAAAAGTGCTTTCAAAAGTCCTCTCTTATGCACTATAGCAGAACTCAGAGGGACTTCACAGAGCCCCAGGGTGTGGAGCACAAACTGAGAACCTTCTTGTCCACCTCGGCACAGGCTCTCACTGCAAAGGCTCGACAGCTCCGCTGGCCGGTAAGGCGGCTCCTCCTCGTCCAAGTTGCCATTTAATCGTTTTCTCGGTCGTATCTCATCGTCCTTTTGGTGAAGGTCTGCACAGCAGCTTAGGCCTCCTGTGCGACAAGGTCTACACAAGCTGTTCGGTGACATCGGGTCCATTCTTCATCGTGCACGGACATCCTCGTGATTTCCATTCTGGTTGTCCCACTGCAGCCGCTTACATTTACTTTCAATGAAATAAAACTCCTTTTTCTTATCTATCACAACTGAAAAACAGACAATCATCAGTCCTGTAGCTGCACCAGCCTCAATGACAACAGGAGCTGCAGCTGACCATCCTGGGCACAAGCACAGGCCCCCATCTTTGCACAAGTTCAACTGGGCGGCGCTGCTCCAGAGAAGCCCAGATAGCCTTCTTTCCTGGCCAACTTCTTTAAGATAGCTTTGTTGTTGTTGTTGTTGTTGTTTGCCATTGAGTTGGCCCCGACTCATAGCAATCCCTCCTCGGGTTTCCGAGGCAGTATCACTACGGAAGTAGATTGCCTCATCTTCCGGGGAGTGGCTAGTGGGTTTGAACCACCAGTCTTCTGATTAGTAGTCAAGTGCCTTAGGCACTATGCCACCAGAGTGCCTAAAATAGCTTTAATGAGATAATATTTACATACTATAAACTGCACATATTTAAAACAATTGGTACATTCTGTCAAATGCATACATTGTTTCCTCTTACCTCTCTGAAATCCCTCCATTTCTCTCCCCATGATACTACAGATCTGTTTGCAGTCAGTGGAGATTACTCTGCATTTTCTAGAATCTTCCATAAGTAGAATTATATAATATGTACTTTTTTTGGGGGGGTGGCTGGCTTTTTTTTTTTTTTTTAATTGTGGTAAAGTATATAACAGGAGAAAGTTGCTGTTTAAACCAGTACTGAGTGTACAACTCAGTGACATTAATAGTATTTACTATGCTGTGTAACTGTCACCACTATTTTTTTTTTTTTAATTTATCACCCCCAAACAGAAACCCAAAAAAGAAACCCACTGCCATTGAGTCAATTCCAACTCATAGCAATCCTCATTGGGTTTCCGAGGCTGTAAATCTTTACGAAGTAGATTGCCTAGTCATCCTTCTGCAGAGTGGCTAGTGGGTTTGAACTGCCAACCTTCTGGTTAGCAGTCAAATGCTGTAGGCAATGCACCACCAGAGCTCCTTCAGAGAAACCCAGTACCCCATAAGCAATAACATCCCATTTCCCCCTCTTCCTTCCCCTGGTCATCACTGATAAACTGGAGTCTCTCTCTGTACCTCTGCTCCTGTTCTAGGTATTCCATGTAAGTAGAATCACAGTCTTTGTCCTTTTGAGTCTGACTTACTTCACCAGCATCATGTTTCCGAGGCTCATCTATGTTGTAGCATGTATCATGATTGCATTTCTTTTCATGGCTGAACAATAGTCCATTGCATGGATATACACGTTTTGCTTATCCACTCATCTGCTGATGGACACCTGGGTTATTTCTATTTTTTAGCTAAAAAGTTCATCCCTTTTTACTGCTGAGAAGGATTCCTTTGCACAGATATCCCACAGTAATTTTCCATTCACCTACTGATGCATATTTGGGTTGTTTCTAGTTTTGGGTTGCTTCAGTTTGGGGCCATCATAATTAACACTTTTATGAATATTCATGTTCAAGTTTTTGTAACATTCTAGGCTTTCTTCTTTTTCTCTTGGGTAAACACCTAGAAATATAACAGCTAGATAATATAGTACAGGTGCACGTTAACTGGTTTTTTTTCTTCCTTTACTTCATATTGTGATTTGGGTGAAAGTTTATAGCAAGTTGGTTTTCCATTCAAGAATTCATAAACATTTTGTTCCATGAAACTCACTGCAGTGCCCACACTGTAACAGTCCTCTTCCCACTTCCTCCCAGTATTGCCCATTTCCATTCGCCCTTCCTTCCTACCCCTTTCTGCCTTCTCAGCTTTCTCCCTGGGCAAACGCTGTGCTGTTCACCTCACATGATTGATTGTTCTAAGGAAGGCATACTTCCCTGATGTTGCTGTTCACCTTCAAGGCCTGCCTATTGTTGGCTGAAAGTTGAGCCACAGGGGCGAGCTCAGTTCCAAGCCTGAAGGGTATTCTTAGGGCCATATTCTCAGGGTTTCCACCAGTCTATATCAGACCAGTGAGCCTGGTAGTTTTTTATGATTTTGAGTCTTGTTCCGCATTGCTCTCCCACTTTATCCAGGACTTTCTATTGTGAGTCCTTTCAGCATGGTCAGCAGAGGTAGCTGGGCATCATCTAGTTCTTCTGATCTCAGCCTCATGGAGGCTGGGGTTTGCATGAACCACTAGTCCTTTGGACTAATTGTTCCCATGTGTCTTTGATTTTCTTTACTCTTCTTTGTTCCAGATGGGAGAGACCAATAGCTGTTCCTTAGATGACACTCACAAGCTTTTAAGACCCTAGTAACTACTCACCAGAACATAATGCAGAATACTGTCTTTATCAACTATGTTATGCCAACTGACCTTGGTATCCCCTGAGATTATGGTCCTGAACCCCCAAACCCAGCAATTCATTCCTTCAAGGTAGTTGGTTGTGGCTAAGAAGTTTTCAAAACTTTGGCCCCATATGTTCTACTATATTCATAAATGGGTATATCTGCAGCACATATAAATACATATGTAGAAGTATCCTCTGTCAAACTTATATATATTAGTGGGTGTAGTCTGTCCCATTCTCTTTCCCACACCTGTTCAGCTCGAAAAATATGGACCACTTCACAAATTTCCGTGCCATCCTTGCACAGGGGCCATGCTAATCTTCTCTCTATTGTTCCACTTTTAGTCTAATCGCCAAAGTGAGCACTGTAAATCAACTTTTTGAAAAACTGCCAAACTTTTCAGAAGTTGTCATATTTCACATCCCCATGAGAGGAGATGAGAGTTTCTGGTCAATTTTGGGCTAATCTCCTGGATGCGTGGGGAAATGTCTTCTGACTTATTTCTGTAAATCTATAAAGCAGTTCTACAATTATCTGTCAAATCTTGGCCCTCAGATTTCTTTCTTTTCCTAGCCAGTGAATTCTTGCTCGAACTCATGACTGTAGGAGGAGTGCTAGGCTTCACCAGAAGGGGCCAAGGGAGCAGTATCCGTCACCTGTCATCAGGGAACAGCAGCCTGCCCTTCTGGTCAGACGCGCCACACGGGGAACAGCCCGCCTCAGCAAACACCGGAGACTGGGTTTTAAGCAGCAAAGCCGTCTGAAACACAAAACTACTGTCATGGCTTGAAGTGCCTACTGTTTGTTATCTGGATGGTACTAGAGCTAAACTTGGAATTCTCACTTAATCAGTCTTTTTATAATTCTAGTCTGCCCTCCCTCACTAAAAAATGCTTTGCTGCTTAGACCATTTGATGTGTTACTTAATGCTTAATGGAGTCCATCATTTGTATCAGTTTCCAAAAGCTGGCAAGGACTCAGGAAACAAGATATAATGCTACGTTACGGTTTCAGTGATAACACTCTGTATTAATACTTGTGCAGCTGAACTAAGAGACAGACAGTGAAAACTGGCTAAAAGATTACAATACTCAACTTGGTCAACCACACAAATAAAATGCTCTTCCCTAACATTCTAGTTAATTTTCATGACGTGACATGTTTCTTCATTCAATCATTATTTCTCTTGGTTTCTGAAAGATATGGTTATGCTTATACTGCCTTCAGTGAGTGCACACAGCAGAGATCTGAAATGAGCTGGTCCAAAACCAGTTGGCCCCCAAAGCCCATACCTGACTGGTATAGAGCACCAGCTGCACTAGCTGAGGCATCAGGGCATCGGCCATGGTCAGAGTCTGTAAGTTTGGATGCATCAGGGAGGTCAGTAACACTGGAAGAAGGTGACCGAGCATAGTAGCCTTAGTAACTTGCTCCAAGCCTTTTAACCTACCAAAAAATTCAAGAAAACATATAGTCTAAGCAATTCCCAATCACATGAAGAAGTAACTAAAGTCATCTTCACCTGACAAATTCTCCTCACCTGCATCTCCCTCAACTAGCTAAGCACTTCAAGTTATAGTAATTTGGTCCACAAATTTCCCACCTTCTACCACTGAGGGATGGGGCAGACTAGACACCTATTAATAGATTTCACCCGTGACTTTGACCAAAAAGTTTACTCAGTGCATTTGGCTGGCACCTTCAAAGAACTTCATAAATGGACTCTGATATGCAAACAGCCACTCTACGTGGGAACTCCCGACAGGTTCCCTGGGCTCTGGGGTTCTTGGTCACTGAGCCACACTGAGACTCTGAGGGAGGCAGTGGAAGGCCACATCACCACTGTATCTGCCCAGAGTAGTGAACCCCACTTGTAGCTGAGAAATTGAGTTTGATGTGGGGTACAAAGGCAGGCAGATTTTAAAGTTTTCTTTCAAACCACATTTTTAATACCTCCATCTTCTGCTAGAAGAATTAAGGCCTGGGGGTCTCCCACAGCAAGAGAAGGGTTATGTCAATTCTCTGAGACCCCTAAGGTTATTGGTGTTGGAACAGAGAAGACCTCACGTCTCCCCGTCTCTCGCACTTGGCTACACTTCCTCCCCATGGCAGACGTGCACAATATGTCACACTGGGCCCTACATGTCTTTTTTTTTTTTTTTGGTGAAAATTTACATAGCAAATTAGGTTCCCATTTAACGATTCCCATACATATTGTTCAGTGACATTGGTCACATCTTCTACATTGTGTCAACATTCTTAATATTTCCTTCCTGCTTCCATTAATGCAGCTTCCCTGCCCCTCCAAGTGTCTTAATATGCTCCACCGCAACACCTGTCTGAATTGCCCTGTTCACAGTCTCAATCTCTTCTAACTTTCTGCGAGTGGGCAAGAAATAGGGACACGGGGACAGACAAGGTTCCTAAGGCAAACATTAGACAGCAGGGTGGCTTCAGGTCACCATCCCTGACATTAAAATCATCCAAATCAGCACGACTGTAACATCTCTGCAAGTAAATCACAGCAGAAATTTGAATGGTGAGGGCTTCATTACTGTACAAAAATAAGTTTACCCTCTAAATAGGTCATTCCTATATTTGGAGAAGTAAAATTACAGCAGAGTCACCAACTTATTACGTCGGTGCCATCTCCTATGACACAAAGGATTCTCTCTCTCGCTAGGTAACTTCTTCCTTCCGACAGTATATATCACGAGGAAACAAAGTGCATGTGGTGCTGAGCTAGGTACTTTGAGGAAAGGTCCACTGGCAGACATGACAGTAGAAGTTCCAAATGTCAGCGACAAGGCTGTGCCTCCACAACCTTGCTACCCCCAGGTCGTGGCTCTTGGCCCAACCTAAAAGCACCATTAGAGGGTTCGATTGCATTTGGCATGACAACACTTGCCATTTCAACCTATTCCCACAAAAAGCACTCTACACTAAATGAACACTTGACGTCATGCTCTAAAAGATTTGATGTTTGTAAGCAAGTTCTTCTCTCTGAAGGGCAGCAGGTCACAGTTCACATCTCTTCCCTCACCTCTGCTCGCAGTCCGCTATGTCACTATTGATGAGGGCAGTTGTGACCTGCTGTAGCATTTCCAGCACTTCATCACATCCAGTCAGGATTTGGGTGGCAAGAGCCAAAATACTGACCTTTAGCTCCTAGGTGGAAAATATTGTAACGTTATTTTTTAAGTTTCCCGATGAGTATTCACTCACAGTGACAACATGAAATGATGTATTTAATGATGCAGTTCCAAATCAAATGATGAGGTGGCCAGAATAAGCCCAAGACAGTAAATTCGGCTAGGATGGCGAGTGGCACTCTGATTTGGGAGGCTAAGGTCAGGAGTGCTGACAGAAATACGCAGTATTTCACAGGGAGCACACCGAGTCCCTAGGAGAAAGATGCATTTCTGCCATCCCCTCCAGCACAAAAGAGCTCCTGGTGGCCAGCCCAGAAACTGTCCAGGTGGGAGACTGCCTTGGGTGGTATGAGGACAGCTAAAGAGAAAAACAGAACAGTAAAAGGCGCATGTATAGGCGGTGAGTAAAATGAGACAAAAACACAACATTCTGAAATAGTACAAGTGACCTTTTTACTTAATGTCTTAAATCCATCATATTTGAAAACTCAATTAGCGCAACGAGCACTTACAGGATATTAAACGCTAAAATTAACTATTAGAGAATTCACGGAAGAACAAATACTAAATAATAGTTAAGAAACTAATATCATAGAAATGATTAGTTTAGTTATTTTCTATTTATTTACTTATTTTAAATTCAAACTAATCCACTACAGGAAATCTAGGTTTGTTTGTTTGTTTTTTTTAATATTTTCCAGAAATATTAGACAACCAAACCTATTCTGCCTTTACTAAGAATCTTTCTCTTTCTTTGCATGGCTTAATTAGAAATGTATTAAATTTAGCCTTTTCAAATAAAAGAAACTTTCTTTTCATTGTTAGACCTGTCTGAGGGTTTTTTTTTTTTTTTTTTGTATTATTAAGACATTTTTATCATCACGAGAAAAGTAAATCTGAATGTCCTAGACCAGCTGAATCATGGTATGAGGCATGTCACAGAGCTGTCACCAGCTGTTATCCACTGACTACCTCCCAAGCAGCAGCAGAACTCAGGTATTTTACATACCTTGTCTCTAATCTTCACAGCAACCTCACAAGGTAGGTGTTAATGACTCTTTTTACTGATTAGGAAACTAACGCAAGAGAAGTCAAACAAAAGTATCAGTAATTTAAATTATGAATTAATGGCTTTCTATTTGTTTAAAAAACTGATTATATAACAAAGTAAACTCATAAATATGAGCTAACAGGTATAGGATTTATATAGTTTATGTGTAAGAGAGTAAAACAAGGGCAAACTATAATGGTTTTTATCTTTAACTCTGGCTTCCTCATTTGTTTGTTTTTCAGTGTGTTTAAGTCAACATTTTAAAGAAGAATAAAATTCTTATTCATTTCTCTAGTCCTCCTACAAAGACGAAATTCTGAAGAACACTGCAAACAACAACCTTGAGCATCTGTCAAAATTCTAACAACCACTGCTATAAAAAAAAATCTTTGGTCTGTTATAAATTGCTATTGGGAACAAATCACTGAGTTTACACAGATGCTAATTTAAAAATAATTACAGAAAATGAAATGAACTGTATGTTGAATAATTAAATTGTTTTACTATAGTAACCATGAGAAATTGTCACCTTTCTAAAGTTACTTGAATAATAGACCATTCAAAACATCAAAAGTTTTAAAATGTCATGCTCCACAATATATATATATATACATACACATATATGTATACATATAAAATATATATACAAATGTGTTTTATGTGTATATGTGTATATATACGTATACATACATATGTGTGTGTATATATATATATATATATATAAACACTTTCAGGTATGCATGAAATCACTGGTTAAGTGCCTTATATGATAGTTCTTAAAGGAATATGAAAATAAACAAAGGCACAAGAAGACTGGCACACAAGGATGACACATCATGACAGAGACAAACATGGTGACTACTGTGCGGTAACACAAAAATCAACGAAATGGGTGACCTAATATTTCCTCTCACAGAAAACACAAGCCACATGGTGAAATAGGACATCACAGCACACACATTGAGCCGTGTCAGCTGTGTTTTACACGCCGGGTAGAAAGCGTCATTCGAGTAAAGCTTGGTGTTTACCTGTACCTTCAATGTCTCTCCCTGCAAGGAGGTGTCACTGTCATCGTTCTCATCAGGTTTAATCAAAATAGTGTTACTGAGAAGGTGGTTCTGAACTGCCATCAGATAGCGCAGGCAGGAGGATGCAGCCTTTAATACAAACAAGGGCGTTTAAATGATCTAGAGCCTACTGAAAGGAGGATCATGTAATCCTCATGTCTTTAAAAGATTTCAACAAGGGAAACAAAGAGAAAGTGCAGAAAACAGACCAAGTTAGTTTCTCAGGTGACTTATTTCCACACGGCTTTCAATACATAATTAGACACATTTACCATAACTTCTCCTCACTAATCACTCAGAATACTTACGTGAATTTTTGCCTCTTACTATTTCTGCTTCCACTCACATGCTTCTCCATTAAGGAAGACTCTACCCAAACCCTTAAAAAAATCCTTTCTTTCCTATTAATGTCTGCAAAACATTGATGCCTTAGGAAACAGTGCTAAATTCAAGATCAATAGGGAAAAAAATCCTCACGAAAACATGCAAATGGCATCAAACCCTTTACTGTATCAAAACGTTTGAGTGGGGAATTAAGTTTTTAGAGACGGTTACTCAGGTGGATTTGCCTAGTACTATATTTCTAGCATTGACTTTCATAAATTATTTAAAATCTACCTTCTAGAATTATGTAAGTGTGCGTGGCTACACACACACCTCAACAGAGTAAAATGAAGACAGAGAAGCTTGCTATGATTTCACGCTCATAAATACATTTTTACTTACAGGCACAGTTGAAAGGAGCTTTTGAAAATCATCTTTAGAGACAGTTTGGCACTTGGTGATTAAGATGCAGGATTCTCGAACAACAATCTTCAGAATGTAGTGTAAGAGTTCATCATTTAGTCTTTAGATTGCAGGGAAAATGTAACGACAAAATAGTGATAGTATATTAGCAAGAGGATAAACTGTCTAAATCAAATGTACAGAAACAGGTTGGCACCCAACCACCACATCCAAGCATTTTACAAATAGCACAGAGAGCCAATGCCTGCCTTCCTCTCCTCAGCTCTAACTTACATTCACTCACTCTCACATTCCAGCCATTTGGATGGAACCCTCCTACAAAACTTTGTACATAAGCTCCATCCACTATTTCTACTCAGGACATTTTTCCCATGCCCAAATCACATTTCTGATAAAACTGAAATGTTTTCTTATCATTTCTTAGGCCAACTGTGGGATTTATTATCTTTCAATTAATATGTCATTTAGGCTTTAACTTCTTAGTCATCATACTAGATATGATAGGAGACTAAATTAGATCAAACACATTTACATGTAAATTAATTAACTAAAAGAACACACACACAAAAGGCTAGCACTGAAGCATACAACTATGTCACCTGTAATGATCATCCTCATCACTGCCAAATCTGTTGTTCTGAAGCTGTTCCGCTAAGTTGGTTAGGATCACATCCCGGAGCTGGGAGAGTCCACTGTTTCTCTCTCCTAACGTGGAAAAAAGCACCATCAACTATCCTGGTAATTGCATTTAGAAATGGATGCTACTAAAAAAGAAATTTTTCCAACAAGTAGAATGTCAACATTTTCTGACAATCTAGGGGCACCAGGTGTATGTACCTATATAAACACAACAAAATCTGCATTACAGCAATCAGACTTCTCAAACAGGACTGCTGGATTCAAGTGCAGTCACCCTCCTGAGACAGCTAAAAAGTGGTGTCCAACTTCTGAAATTAACATTGCTTATAAATGCCCAACGGCTTTAGCAGGGTGCTCCTGTTTCACTTTGTTGTCTTCTATTCTAATTTACAAGCTGGGTTCTGATGTGTGAGGAAAAAAATAAACTGACTTAGAAATCACCAGCAAGGCATTATCATTAAGCATTTAGGAAATATCTACAGTTGGGTACACTGTGCTAAGCAGCAGAGATAGAAAGAGGTTTTAAGGCTTGAAGATACATAAAACATGGTTTCTGCTTTTAAAATGGTTGAGGTGTTTGCAACATGCCGACACATATGTAAAATGATGCTGCTTAACAGAGATGAGGAAAAGAAGGATCTATTATCTTAATACCCAGCTGCTCCTTCTGGCTGCTGTGGAGTCGATTCTGACTCACACCAACCCCATGTGCACAGAGCAGAACTGCTCCATGCAGCTTCAAGGCTATGACCTTTTGGAAACAGGTCGCTAAGCCTTACTTCTGAGGTGTGCCTTGGGGAGTCTGAACCGTCAACCTTTCAGGTAGTAGCGGAGAGTTCAATCATTCGCACCACCCAGGGACAAAAAAAGGACAGTTGTTCAAGGAGAGTTAAAAGATAATTCTCACCTTCTGTTAAGACCAGCTTGAGTAAGTTATTGATTTCCATTTCACCTGGGTATAAGATATTTAAACCAGAGCTGAAATGATAGAAACATAAAAAAGTGTTTAAACAAATGTTCTAGAAAATCCAAACTCTAAATATTTAGTATTTCTATTGTTATTAAAAATGTCAATTTAATTTTATGAAACTGTGGTTAAGTTTTGTGACTAAACGTACTTGAACCTAAATTCATGACCATGATATAAATCAATCATTTCCCTCACCTCCTACCTCTGAACTACCAACATGGTCTCGGCCCTGTTCTGAGGCAGAACTGCTTTAAGAAAATTGGTGAGCTATAAAAGGTCAACACAGTCAAGCCAGCTACACATACAGACTGGGCCAAAAAATAATGTGAAAAGGAGAATCTCTAATTCTCAGCTTTTCCATGTCTTTGGACAAGAACGTGAATTATTTTTAGGCTCCATGTGATGCCATAAGACACAGCTTGGGAAACAGACTTGGAGTCCAAAGAGAAGGAAGTGCATTTCAAATTAAACTTCAAAATGCCTATTAGAATAACAGGAAGAATAGCATTGCAAATGGCATGAGAATTTTCTTCTTTTTCTTTGGAAATGAAGTTTAATTGACATACAATAAAATGTATATAGTTAAAGTGTACAGTTTGGTAAGTTTGACACATGTATTCACCCATACAACCAGTACCACAATTAAGTGAGTAAACATATCCATCACCCCCAGAAGTGTCTCCGTGGCACCAGATTTCAGTATTGCCTCAATACTATCAACAGACAGAGAACTGAAGCCCAATAGATTATGGAAGGGAAAGAAGCCCCTCCTTCTGTGCTCCACCATCACCACCTCCTTCTGATCAAGCCCTCAATCCTCTCTGAGCCACTGATTTACACTCAGTCATATTAAGAATAAAAGTCCACTGTACTCAAAAAAGAAAAAAAAAACAGACATTAAAACCAAAATACCAAACCCACTGCCACTGAGTTGATTCCAAGTCATAGGGACCCTCGTTGGGTTTCCAAGGCAGTAAATCTTTATGCAAGTAGATTGTCCCATCCTTCTTCTGTGGAGTAGCTGGTGGTTTGAACTGCCAACCTTCTGGTTAGCAGTCAAATGTCTTAGGCACTGCACCACCAGAGCTCCTTAAGTAGAAGATGGCCCACAAATGCAGCCCTCTTACCTAATAAGGTTTTAAACAGATTAATAAAGATAAAAAACAGCTAACAGTGTTGAGTACTTACTTGTATCTAGTCTTATCTTACTCAAATGTCATAAATCTATAAAGAAGGTATTGTTTTTATGTCCACTCTGCAGCTGAGAAAACAGAACCTTCAAGCCAAGGTCACAGCTAGTAACTGGCAGAGCGAAGACTAGAACCCACACTTGCTTATTGCCAAAGCCTGAGTCCTTAACCACCACACCACTCTCTCCCAAATGAGAAGAGCATTCTGTTCATAAACAATCAAAATAACCACTGCACGGTTTGTTGGCGTTTTGTTTTCTAAGAGCTCCAAAAGAGCACAGACTTTTAGTCAGACGAGCAATGTGGGTACCATAGGTGGCTTAGGTCCAGAGGGTGGGCCCACAAACCCCTCTCCTATTCAGTTTTCCCCTACGCATGAGGTCCTGCCTGCTGGATGGGTAAGAGACCTCCATGCTCCTGGCCTGCAGGGAAGACTGCAATGCATCTCAGAAGGATTTTGTAGACAGCACAACAAAACTCAACGGCCGCACTCCCTAGACCAACCAACCTCATGAGATCCCAGGGCAGCACCTGTCCGGGACAAAGCTCAGAAGGTAGAAGGGGAGGAAGGAGGACAAATGGGAAAGGTAAACGCACGGAGAAGAGCACTGATGCTGCAGGATGGTAATCAACGCCATAAATCACAATGTACAGGAATCATCGAATGCAAAACCCATTTGCCCTACAAATTTTCACCCAAATCACAGTTAAAAAGAAAATTATTCACTGCTTACCTGATGGCAAGGCAGACTTCCTTCTGAATCTCAGGGCAAATCTGATCCTTTGGTGCCATCAACAGCTGCCAAAGAAGCAATCCCGACCGTCGAATGATGTCGCGACTCCTTTCAGTTTGTGGGCTGAAGAAAAACTTAAACACCACCTACAGAAACATAAGGGTTGCATCTAAAAAATGCTGATTCTCCTGGGGGTAAAATTATCCTTATGAAGAAAGACATGATACGCATTCTTATGAAGAAACATCCAGGTAGATTTTTAATCATAATCTCATCTGTTGTGCAATGGTATAATTACATTAAACATTTTACGTATATCAACTGCAATGAGCTACATATAGCAATACTTCATTAACAGCAATGCAATGACTATGATAATTCTAATTACAGGATTAGAATGCGGTAAGATACCAAACAGGAATGTTACTCAATTTTCCTTCTGCTAGAAATTTCTGCTGGGTAAAGCTAAGATGTGCCTGTCTTTTTCTCTATCATCGTACTTATCTCAAAACAGTGTATTTACCTGGAAGACCACAAGAATGCAGCGTATAATGCAGGCATCTCCATTAACCATGGCCTTTTCCATTATGTCACAAATACTGCTGAGATGGTGGGCTTCGATTGGATGCTGCTTGCCCAAGACACTTGTGAGAGGAAGGCTGGGGTTGGTAGCAAGAAGATTGAGTTGGTGTATGCACATCGCACCAACATGGTGCAGTAACTGGTTTATAACCTCGTTTGTGGTTATAGCCTCTTCTAGAAGATGAAAAGGAAACTCAGTGAGGAAAGACATCTCTATAGGTGGTCCCCAAGGAACAGACCTCTCTGACTCATAAAAGGTGCACATGCACAAGGAGAGAGCGACTTGGTTCCAATCTCTTCTACTACTTCCCCCTGGCACAGAGTGCTGGAGTGGAGTGCCTTGAGAACTTCAATACCTCTAGACCATAAGTAGCTATGACTTTGTATATGCTGGACAATGGGCCAAATGCTTTACATGCACTATCTTAGAACAATCTTATGAATTACAGTGTTGTTAGCCCTATTTTGCTGCATCCTATAAATTCTGGTATGTCATGCTTTTGTTTTCATTCACTTCAAAACATTTTCTAATTTACCTTGAGATTTCTTCTTTGTCCCATGTAATATTTTCAAGCCATGAGATTTTAGGCAAATAGTAACCTAATACTAAGAATCTTACTAGTAATATTTAAAGGTCCTGCAACAGTAATTCTAAATAATTTGAAATTTGTATGTAAATAAGCATTTATTTACATTAGCAATGTAAAACATTATAATAGTATATAACAAATTATGAACCAATTTTTTTCAACAAAGTTCTGATAATTTCAGCAGGAACATATCAAATTTCTTTAAAAAAAAAAAAAAAAAGTCCTACGGGCCAACTCCAAAGCTCTTTTACTTAATCATAAACCAGTATTTTGGGGTCACAGATAACAAGGATTTGGCTTTGTAAGTTCAGAAAGGGAAGGCTGTTGACACGTTTTGGTACTCGGTCTGTTCCCCCGTAGTAAGGCTGCTGCACTCAGTCACGTGTCGAGGGGAAATCTCTTCCTCTGAGACTGTGAGTTCAGCTCACCTTTGGGCTCAGTGATGATGTGGCTTACTCCAAGTCTCTGGCAGACATAATGGAAGGCTTGATTCCCAGGATTACACCACTGATCAATGTAGTCATTCGAGCACGTCCATAGCATGTTGTTCACCGTATCGTAACAGGCACCTGCAAAAAGAGCCTACGTTACTCAACTGTCATGTCACCATCTGTCTCTGTACATACTTTTTACCAGCACTGCTGAAGAAGAGAGAATGGCCAGGGTCTCCCCTAAGGCTGACCATCCATACCTCCACTCCATACATTTACCTGGCAAGGTACTAGGTTGGGACTCAGCAGTAAGAAGGCAGGGTTCAATTTCTAATTTAACTCCTATGTAAGAACTGAATAAATCCCATAGAATGATTAACTCTTATGAATGGATTCACATCTGTCATACTTCCAAAAGGGATTTAGTTGGCTTACATTAAAAACCCAGATACAATGGGACCAGTTAACATTGTGAACAATGAAAGTTTTAGTAACTGAGCCTAAAACATAGATATGAGCTTCCCAGCAGCCAGGGCAAAGAAAGAAAAAAAAAATCCAATACATTACAAACAGTTACTGTGTAACAATAAGAAGCATACCGATGCCTCATGTGAAATAAATTGTATGGATGTGCTTTAAGGAGAATTTGGTACAGTCAGCATCACATAACACAATGAACAATATTTTCAATAGCACTTTATACAGAGGAAGTTCACATGTGGTGATTTCTTACAGTGATCCTCAAAAAACTAAACATTATTATTATTGTTATTATTTTATTTTAAGGAAACTAGAATGTCAAGGGAAATCGGCAAAATTTTTCAAGAGAAATAGCTAAACTGTTGAATTTTCAAGGAAATGTGTGCATTTGTTCCTTACCCAATCCCGGGACAAGAGCACCACGTCCAAGTGAGCTTCCAGCAGCGTCGATGAGATCAGCACGACTTGTAAACTGACCATCCGAGATATTATACACCAAGCTAGAGGCTAGAACTTCAGAAGCAAACACTAAGTTGTTTAATGAGCCTTAAGAGGAGGAACAGTCTACTCTTCAAAGTTTAAACCCTAGTCTCTTAAGATTTGTATTAAAAAAAAAAAAAAAAACACCATTTTTTTGTTTTCAATTGGTGAAAGGAGGACACTGAAAAGACACAGAGGACCACAAAAAGCCAACCAATACCAAAGCATCTTCCTGAATTTAATAGTGAACTAAATTAAAAAAAAAAATATTTATAAAAATGGAAGTTCTTTCATGAAGGTTTACTCAATATAGGTTATTAAAAGGGTAATTACAAGAGGGATTACAATCATTAACACCACAGCATAACACTATTTACAAGAAATAATTTTTATATAGTTGGTGATCAATAAACATTGATGGTCATTCAAACGCAGCTCAGTTCCTGTCCTTCCAAGTAGTGGCTCTAACACTTGGAGACACTTTGCCTTTTCCCTCCACGTAGGATTGTGTAGGCATGAATAACGTGGGCTGTGGGTTTCTGGGTTTTAATTCCAACTCTATCCCTTATGGGGGACCCTGAGCAAGTCATTTAACCTCTCCGAGTGTCAATTTCCTAGTATATAAAGTGGCCATAAGGACCAGCCTCACAGGGTTACTGTGGAGGTGAAATGAGTTAAAATGTATCAAGGATCTACAACAGCCCTGTGCTAGCTGCAACTATTCTGTTCTTTTCTTGTCTACTTTCAAACATAAATTCCTAATGTTCTATCTCTAGAGTTTGTTGGTTTTTCTTAATCCCATTGCCCTAGTAGCCCAGGCCCTTAGCATGCCTGACTTGAGTGAAAAACTACACTGCTCTTTCTCTTCTATTTTCTACTGTTCCATCCTGCACACCAACAGACAGACTTTCCAAACTCTTCTTCTCATTGTGCTCACCATACATAGCTACCGACATAGGTAACACCTGTCTGTCACAACTTAAACTCAAGATGCTGAGGTGGCTCCTTTCCTCATGCCGTCACTCCTCTCCATCCCTTTCCCAATGATCCATTCTCTCTCATTCTACAGGGTGTCAGTCTGCTCCCCACAGTTCACACCCCATCTTCTTGGTGTTTCATATTTCTACATAATTTCTCCCAACTATACTATGAGCTCCTGAAGGCAAGCACTATTTCTTTCACTTTCTGACAGGCCCCCCAGTGACCAATGTGGGCTAGAGCACAGAAGGTATTTAAGCATTTTTTAATGTGTTGGTCTAAAAAACAATCACTATACAACCTATAGCCTCATTAAAAAAATGGCACCATGTAGGCCTTCTTTAATGAAATGGGGCCAATCTCAACTGAGTGAAAAAGTCACGCCCACAAGACTAAAAATGAACTCTAAGACTAAAAACAAACTAATGGGTTTAGAGCTTAATAAGACTAATGGTCAATTAAAACAACAACCAAAATAAAAATGGGCAAAGGATCTGAATAGATATTTCTCTAAAGAAGATATACGAATGGCCAATAAACACAGGAAGAGATGCTCAACGTCACTAGTTTTCAGGGAGATGCAAATCACAAACTCAAAGGCAGATGAGAACAAGCGGTGGCGAGGGTATGGAGGAACTAGAGCCCTCATGCATTGCTGGTGGGAATGTAAAATGGTGCAGTAGCTTTGGAAAACAGTTTAGCAGTAGGATAAGCACAGAGTTACCATACAATCCAGCAGTTCCACTCGCAGGTATATACCCAAAAGAACCAAAAACATATGTCCACATAGAATCTTACACCTTCATGTTCACAGCAGCATTACTCATAGCCAAAAGTGGGAATAGCCCTAATGCCCATCAACATGTGAAAGGATAAATAAAATGTGGTAAATAACACACAATGGAATGTGATTCAACCATGAAAAGGTATGAAGTACTGATGTATGCTACAACATGGATGGACCATGAAAACATTCTACTGAGGCAAAGAAGCCAGTCAGCCACAAAAGGTCACTTATTACATGATTCCTATATAAAAAATCCAGAATAAGATAAAGACAGAAAGCAGACTGGGGGTTGCCAGGGACTGGGGAAGAGTGGGGAAATAAGGAGTGTTTTGTTTTGTTTTTTGCTAACAGATACAGGGTTTCTTTCTGAGGTGATGAAAGTGTTCTACAGTCAGATAGTGGTGATGGTGGTGGCACAACTCTGGGTACACTACAAATCACTGACCTGTACCTTCTCAAGGGGTGAAGTTTATGGTAGGTGAATTATATCTTAATGCTGTTATACAAAAAGACTAACGGAAAAGTTACAAGGGCTAAAGAGGACATATGTCATAAAGCGCCACACTGGTCACATTCAGAGAGCTCTGTCACAGAAAACAGGCTGCTGAGAAAAAGTTCAACCCATTTGCTTTTAAGGTAAATGAGTCTAGAGTTAGTTAAATTCCAAGCACACAGAACTTCTTGAGCCCTAAAGGTTAAGCTGATACTGCATGAACAATTCTCTTTAAACTGCTGAGGTCAAATTTGTATCTGATGGCTTACATTAGAGCAAGCAACATTTTTTTTTTTGTTTTTGTATTTAAAGCTATTTGTGTCATATAACCCTTTCATGGAATAATTGCAGAATATGAAATACTGAGAAATTAAAACAAGTAAATATTTTAAAACATTTTATGTCCCTAAACATATCTGAGGGAGCTCTAGTAGCATAGTGCCTAAGGCATTTGACTGCTAACCAGAAGGCTGGTGGTTCAAACCCACGAGTCACTCTTCAGAAGGAAGGTTGGGCAATCTACTTCTGTAGTGATACCACCTCTAAAACCCAAGGAGGAGTCAGTATGAGTTGCAATCGACTTGAGGGCAGTGCTTTTTTTAAAATATATTTGAAGGAAAAAGAAAAAGAATGCAAAAATAAGCTATTCCTATACATAAGAGAAAGACTGGGCAATCTACTTCTATAAGGATTTCCTGTCTCAGAAACCCAAAGGGGGTCGCTATGAGTCATAATTGACTCGATGGCAGTGAGTTTGGCTTACATAAAAGAGGAATGTTTTCTTCATTGTATGTTTTATTCCACTTATCTATTTTCCCACTCTGTAGCTAAAATGACACTGCTTTAATTACTATAGTAGAACCCTCTCTTTTATAAAAAACACATGTACATTTACAGACATTAGTGAATTTCACATCTATTATTGTATATTCTCCCTTTTAACGTTCTGCATATGCATTCCCAAATGGAAGCACTTCACATTTGTTAACGAGCTCTGCGAAATTCTGTCACATGAAGAGGAGCTCTTGCCATGTCATTTGCACATCATGTAGCAAGAGGTTATTTTATTTCATAAAACTTTACTGAACTCATTATTATTTCCAGCAATTTCACAGGATGATGGTTTCAAAAACATACACTCATATCATCTACAAATAATTCTATGCTCAGTCCCCCTAGCCTGTAACTATGCTGACCATTGCTATTTCTGCTTGTTATCAGCAATAATAGGAAAGCTTTAAATTTCAGAGTTTAAGGCAAATGGTGGAAAGCATCACAAAGAAAATGCACTTACTTTTTAAAGATGATAAACCACTTGTTCCACCAAAAAGCGAGCGGGTGGCAGAGCTGCCCGATCCCCCCGGGGGTGGGACCAGCATCACCAAGTATGTGCCACAGGTGTAGATGGGTGTCTTCCGCAGCATTTTTAGGGGCAGCCCACAGCTAGTGTTCGCTGGTGGAGGAACAGAAATGTTGAATAGAAATATTTGCACACAGATGAACTTGATTACCAAAACAGACTAGGGTAGAGGGGCCCCCAAACTCACACAAGGATGTGACCAGACCAGGAAAAAAGAGCAAGAAGTAGAAAGCAGCAGGAACGTTAGGGATCTTCCAGTTCAGCAGGACCCCAAGCCTGTCACGTGGCATTAATATTTCTGGAGGGTGCTCCAATATTCAAAATGCTCTTGGGTCTCTAAAAATTCCTCCAAAAGAATGAATCCTCACAGGGACTAGATCTCAAAATAAAAGAAGAATCCTATTGTTTGTGTTTCTCCTGGGAAACTCATGTTCTATCACAGAGCTTTTCACTTTACACAGAACAAATTTTTGACAGGTTTGTGACAGTACATTCATTTCAAACAGCTTTGAACATGAAATCAGTCAGAAAGCTCAACTACAACTAGTTAGTAAAAGCTTTCACAGTATCTATCACAAAATAATTTTATACCTACATGATTCATAATGATCCACTATAGGGGTATCTTAGGATCAGTGACAAACTATCATTAAGGAAATAATTATTGTTCCTAATCAAGAGGCATAACATGTACTCGAATCTCTCTTCCTGGCAGATCTGAAACATGGAGTGTACTCAAGGGTTCTCCACACCCTGCCTCGTGAGCACCGCGAGAGCCGAGACAACAACACACAGGCCCTGACACAAAACCATCTTCAGAGGGTCTGTCTGAGATTAGAAAACTGACAAAAAGGAAACCTCGTCTGTCGGATATTTGTCTTAAATGTTTATGCTTCTAAAATGATCCCTTTTTTAAAAAATAAAGAAAACCTTCCAGCCCCCAACCAGAATATTCTCCATTCAGGACATAAAGTCAGGAACTTAATCCACTTTTATAGATAAGAAATGCAAATTAAAATGGCAAAAAGGACTGTGATTAAAAAATTAGCAACTTTGTTCACCAAGATGTTTGCAATAGACATATTCTTATTAACATGGCAATAAATATTAGTTTATCACTTTGATTTGGGGATTGAAAATTCTAGTCCTTCTGAATATTTAATGAATTTTCACAACTTCATTTATCCTACAACTACTAACTTCTTATGTAGTAGCATCATGGTGAATGAATACACAGACAACATTTATGAGTGTCCAATGAGATCACAGGTTTAGAAAATACATCAATTTCCACAGAATTCTAAATGTAGCTTTGCCTTCTGAGGTCTCTCTTTGGTATCACCCACCCACACTTTCTTATCCAAACATTCCTTCTGTATTTCTACCATTCAGAGTACGGTTCGGTTTGCCGGTTTGCTCCCAAGGGACAAATCCAGATCAAGCATTTAGCTTGTTGTAAAATATTCATTTAGGTAAGTAAGCGACTGTCCTCTACAAAGTATTTCCTACAACTCAAGTTATTCACTAATTTAAGTTACAACAACTATGAATAATTTCTTCACTTATGTTTGATACAATAGAAGCCTATGGAAATAAAATATTATTCTTAGATTCTAATGTGGATTAATATGTGTTTGATTTGGTAGTCTCATAATAAGTTAACCATTTTCTCTTCTGAGCATTTCACACTGTAAAGGGATTAAAACATTAAACTGCATTAAATTCATTAAGTGCATATTAACTCAGACATAGTTTTTCTTTACATATTTTTCTGGCCTTATCTTTTAGTGCTATTTCATGGTTTGCTGTAAATTCAAGTAGTTGGTATATAATCTATAAACTCTTCTAGAATAATGGTTCTTAAACCTTTTTGGGCTTATAGATGACTTTGAAAATCTGCTGAGAGTTATGACGGATACATATAACATATAATTTAAAACTTTAGGGGCCATATTTGTGAACTCCTTAGAGGGTTATCCCAGTTAAGAACTTTTACTTTCAAACTGTGGAACAGTGTCTATAGTGTGCTACCTTTTATTAAGAAAAGGAGAAAAATAAGAACACATACATTTCTTTTTCATTGTATTTGCATAAAGAAACCCAAAGATAAATAAAACCCAGTAAATATAGCTGTCTATAGGGTATGGAAAGGAGCTCTGGTGGCGTAGTGGGTAAGGCATTTAGTTGCTAACCAGAGGATGGCAGTTCAAACCCACCAGCTGCTCCCAGGAGGAAGATGAGGCAATCCACTTCCGTAGAGATTCACAGCCTGGGAAACCCAATGGGAGTTGCTCTAAGTCAGAACAGATTTGATGGCAGTGGGTTTGGTTAGATAGGGTGTGGGAGGGGTGCTGGTGGCACAGTGGTTAAGCAATCGGCCACTAACCAAAAGGCTGGTAGTTCAAACTGTGAGAGGAAGATGTGGCAGTCTGCTACCATAAAGATTATAGCCTTGGAAACCTATAGGGGCAGTTCTACTCTGTCCTAAAGCATCGCTATGAGTCAGAATCAACCAGACAGCAACAAGTTTGGTTTGGATAGGGTGCAAGGCAAGGGTAGAAGATGGAATATGCCAAGATAGCGGCAGTAAGACTTCTCTGCATGTACCTCTTTATATTGGGTTCACTTTCAGGCTTTGGAAATGTATTACCTAGTTTAAAAAGTTCAAAGACAAACACTTACTGGTAAAATTTTTAAAGAGAACTACCTGTTGTAGAAGATGTGCCTCTTATTTGCTTGATCAAGATTGTGTTTAGTGGAGATGATGCTGAAAAGTTGGGTTTTGATACTCATGATGCATATTCTAAATGTGAAGTCAATTAATTTATACTAACAGTGATGATGAGGAGGAGGAGATATTTACAGTTAAAGACAGGATGTGTCACTTATCAAAGACTCATGCTAACTAACTTCCATGGCCCACAACGTGCATTAGCATGGAACACAAAGAGAGTGGAAGGAGGTAAGTAAGATGAAAGTGCTTGGCAGGGCACGCAGTAAGTGCTGTGGAACACAAGTTACACAGGGGAGCAGATCTGGGGAGTGAAGACCAGCTTACCTGCCTGATCCTCCTTCAGAGTGTTGGAGATGGTGGAGCCAGTCAGGGCAGCCAGCGTGGCGGAGGGGGAAGCTCGATACCGTGAGAGTCTGCTCAGAAGCATCTCATTAATGCTCTTGGCAGACTCTCCTTCTTTTCTCATCAGAATTGTGCGTTCCTGAAGAGGGCTGGCTACAAATACACCATTTTCAATCTAATATTGAGAGAAAAAGAGGTCCTTAGCTGATAACCGTTTCCATCTAAACAGCAAATTTCTACCTGAGAATTATACTATTGTGATGGGTTACTCAAAAACATTTTAAAAACTGCACCTGAGTAGATCTATACCTCAAAACTTAAGTGCTCTCCGACTGGTACACCATGTGATCCTCAGCCTATACAACTATGAGACCAGAAGAACTAGATGGTGCCTGGCTACCACTGTCAACCACTTGGAGGGGGATCTATGTAGGAGATCCTGGATAGAGAGGGAGAACAATGTGGAACAAAACTCAAAATTATAAAAAAAAAAAAAAAAAATGACCAGGTTTGCTGGTCCAATAGAGTCTGGTGGAACCCCTGAGACTATGGCCTCTAGCTGCTCTTCGGGTCTGGAATTGAACCCACTCCTGGGGCTTCCAGCCAAACAAAAGACAGGCCTATGAGCTGAACATTTACACTAGGTAGATACACTCCGTGGAGAGAACAATCATGGGAGAATTTCTGTGTATGCACAGGGAGACAGCTCAGGGGGTAGGAGTGCATGGGAGGGAAGGATACAGGGAAGAGGTAACTATGGGGAGGAAGTAGGAAGGGAGCTGTTGCATTGTGGGAAATTGCAGTCAGTGTCATGAGACAAAGTGCATGTGAGCTGCTGTATGGAAAATGAATGTGCTCTGTAAATTTTCACCCGAATCACCAAAAACAAAACAAAACAAAAAAAAAAACTTAAGTGCTCTCTAGAAACTAGTGCAAACAAAAGGAAGAGTAAGCTAAGTCTGAGCACTTCAATTTTTCATAAAAGCCCAGATTTTAAGTGTAATGAGTCAAGTTTAATAAGTTCTACATAGTTGTTGATTAAAATTTCTTATACTGAATTCCACAGGCAGCACTCACTAATTGCATGCCTCTCATAGGTACAAGTAAGATAAGCAAACAAATCATTATTTACAACTATGAGGACAATGTCTTCTTGAAACATAATTAATGGCTGTCTTGGTTTTCTAGTGCTGCTGTAACAGAAATACCACAGGTGGATGGCTTTAATAAACAGGAATTTATTCTCTTACAGTTTAGGAGGGTAGAAGTCCAAGTTCAAAGTGCCAGGTTCTAGGGGCTGGGTAAAGGCCTCCTGACCCTGGGCTTCAGCTCTGCCTCTTGCTCCAAGCCCACAGGAGCTAGAAACTTTTTCTGACTCACACAGCTGCTGGCTGCTGAGGCTGACAAACCCAAGACCAACAGGTAAAATGGCACAATCCATTGCCAAGCCACACAGCAGGCCAAGACTCAGCCAAATGCAGGGTCCAGATGTGCCAAAAGCTAAAGACCTTTCTCAAAGCTTTCGAAGCAGGTCACCCCCCAAAGGCAGCTCCCTTTCCACTGATTAATTAACGTCCCACAGCAGATTTCACCACAGAGGTGATTACAATCTCATCATGAGAACAATGGCTGAAATGCAAACTCTCTACTGACAACACTTAACACCAGCTACCTGGATACTGGCAGAGCAATTCTGGAGAAAGGCAGATGCTGTATGCTAAAAATACATGCCAGTGTTACCTGGATCCTTGCTGGTACCTGGCAATCCTTTCATTCATCACTTGATTATTCCCTAGGCAAACCTCTGGAGTGGTGATTCCAAAACTCTTTCACCCATTTGGGGTCTGACTGTGAGCAGATCACCTTGCTTCCACTCACTGTGAGCTTCTCCCAATCATGTCTCTTCCAACTCAAGAACCTCCACGTTCAGGCTCATTTGCTCTTCCTTTCCTCTTCCTTCAGAGCAAGAAGGTTGCCCCTCACATTGCTGCAGGTCAGCTCTTTCACCTCAGCCTCTAATTCCACGTTCTCCTGCTTCCTCTCCAAGTGCTCCCTCTGCTCCTCCAGTATCAACATGCCCCCCTCCACCGACTCCTGCTCTTGGGTTTCAAATAGTCACAGGTCTGTGAGATTTTAAACACAATCTTGCTGGCCCATCAAAACATGATCCCTTTGTTCCCCACTTCGGTTTGTTGTCTGATGTCTCAACTATAGCTCATGTGGCTTCTGCATTTCCAGCCGCCTTTTAAAGCCTGGTCTCCTGGATCAGGCTAGAGCCTCAGCAACTGGCCCCACTAGTGGAGGTCGGATGGGCTGGCCTGCAGCTGTGGGGTATGGAGAGATGACAGAAGAGGAGTTCAAAGCTGTAAGTCTAAGGAAGCAACTAAAAATCAAGGCGTCTACAGTGACAGCCTGGTAACAGAGAAGAAGCAAGAGAAAGCAAGTAAATTCAGGAGCACAGCCAAGAAAGCCTCCCACGGGCGGCTCTACACACGGGGGGAAGGGGGTCTCCTATGATGCAGTCACCAAGGATAAGGGAAAGGATTTCTTAGAGAGTCCAGAAGTGCTGCTTCTCTTTCCTCACCCTCTGCTTCTTAACCCTGTGAAGTTTGGTCTCTGCAGTCAACACTCCCTAACGAGCAGACATTCTTGATGATCCACCACAAACCTAAAGCCCAAGCCATCAACCTCTTCCCTAACTTCCTTGGACGCTGTTCCATGGTTGCCAGCCTCCTTGGGATTCTTGGTGGTAAAACACAATCCTGGTTCATTTCCTTTTAATGTAAGTTCTGTGTGAGTGAGTGAAGCCAACACAGTCTCTGCCTTCCTGCTCTGTCTCTTCTTTGCTGGTTTCCCATCTCCACGGGGTAAGTGAGAGCCCTTCCAGGATTCAGACCCAACCTCTGGTGTCTAGGACCTCTGCCTGGAACACTGTTCCATCATTCAGGCACCATGTAGAATGTCACCACTCAAGGAGGCCTTCTCTGATTACCAATCTGAAGACGACTACCCCCCCCCCCGAGTCACATCACATCACCCTGTTTTGGTATCTGCACAGCACTTACTGTCTGAAATCATCTTACTCATTAATTCATTTATTGTTTGCCTCTGTCTCCCCCAATACCATCTCCTCGAGAGCAGAAACCCTGTCTGCCTTGTTCACCACAACATTCCCAGCACTTAATAGGCATTCAATAAATAGTCAATGCCTCACTGAACAAGCAAATCAATACCCTCCCTCATATTAAACTATTACCTCTTCATGACAAATCTGAAATTTCTATCTATACCATTTTTGCTAATAAGATCTAGTCCTGTTTTTATTTTTTATTTTTAATTGCCAGCCTAGCCCCCTAAATTTCTGCTTGACTACCCAACTGTCAATAAAAATTCAACACATCCCACCTCTTACCACATCCTTTTACCCCCAAGCCTCCTGCTGGATTAATCTTTAGCAAGCATATGTCTATTTATGTGAGACAACTCTAAATATAACCCTTCAAAGCCATCCAAGATAAAAATCAATCACTTTAAGCTTGACATTCAAAAGCATTACCCCATCTAGTGCTATGAGAAAAATCAATGGATACCTTAAAAAAAAAGAACAAGCTACATAATTGTATTAAAATACATCAAACATATTGCAAATAAAAACTGATAAAGCAGCTGTGAGAAACAAGGTCTGCTTGGTGCACAAGGGGCAAATCTGCTGAAAACTGACTCCAGCAAGGAGATGCTGGGGTTAAAAGCTACTGACTGAGAAAGGAGACGAAGCAGCAGCACAGTCGGCAGCCAGAAGGGACTGCCCTCCTAGCTACCACCACCACCATCCTGGTCCAAGTCAGCATCAACTGAAGCCTGATGAATGGATCGGCCTCCCACCTGGTCTCCCAGCTTCCACCCCTCTCCCCAGTTTATTCTCCACCCAGCAGAAGGACGGGACATAAAGACAGTAAGAATAATCTCTTCTAAGAGTTTTGCTCTAAAAAGCTACAAAGAAGTAGGATAGTAGCTGGAGGAAGGATACACTATGTATATTTGTACGCTGTTGTGGATAATCCACTAAGAGGGGAAACTTGTTAACAGAAGAATAAGTCTAGCAAACACGTCCTCCACCCCAACTTTTATCACTCAGCTGTGAGCAATGACACAATGTGTTCTGAACCTAATTTTTTATACTTAATAATATAACTTGGAAATTAATCTACTTCAATATATGCAGATCTGCTTCAGACCTTTCAATGGCTACACAATGTTCCATTCTGAGAAGTACCATGGGCAGTAACCCAGTATCTTTGCTAAGCTTCCAGAAGTTAGCGTTTTAGAAGCTGCTAAATTAGAACCCTGTGTAATTTTATATAGTGCCTAAGGGATTTGACTGCTAACCAGAAGGCTGGCGGTTCAAACCTACTAGCCACCCCTCGGAAGGAAGACCGGACAATCTACTTCCATAGAGATACTGCCTCAGAAACCCAAGGAGGGGTCGCTGTGAGTCAAATTGACTCAACAGGAGTAAGTTTGGTTTTTATGTGTGTGTGTGTGTGTGTGTATTTTTATGATGAAAAATTTCAACCATACACAAAAATAGAGAATAGTATAATGAACCTTGGTACACCTATCATCTAGATTCAATAATTATTCAGATATTGCCACACTTGCTTCACCTATCCTTTCTTTTTTGGCTCAACTCTTTTAAAGCATATCCTAAACATCATTAATTCCACTCCTACTTCCTTCATTAAACATTTCTAAAAATATGGACACTGTCTTACATAACTACCATGACATTATTATTATTCAAAGATAAATTAACAATAACCCTTTGGTTTCATCTAATATCATTTTAGATTTTTCAAATTTCTAATTCTCTCCCAAAAGTTCTTTTACTTGAATCAGACTCCAAATAATGATTCCAAAGTTGTTATTTTAACCTAGAGCAGAGCAGGCTCTTCCCTCCTCAACTTTTTATTTCACGCTGCTGGCAGAGGCTAATTTTAGTTGCTCTACTTCCGCCATGGCAGGTATGGGCTTTTTGATTGTGTAACACTATATCTAAAAATACACTTGATTGATACTTTGGCTGAATACTGATTTCTAAGTTGGAAATCAATTTCCCTTAAAATTTTCAAAGTACTTGCGTTGTTAGTGAAGGCAAACATGGGTATATGGATGGAT